GTAGGTCACGCCTGACTAAAATTTAAGTACCAATTTGGTGTCTTCTTAAACAGCGCTGTTAAGGTTAATAAAAAACCATGTTGTGATTAACTGGAAAAGGAGACTTTTAACAGAATATAAATTTTAATTAAGGAAACTCAGAAATATTTATTTAGTATTTCTATATCTTTCGACAATCTTATCATTAATCTTTTCGTATCATAATTGCGAATAAGGTATAACGGTTTGAATTTTGACTTGGGTATTTCAAAGCTACAAAAGATTTTATATAACTTTCTGGACCCTATTCCCAAATCACAATAGGAACGTGACAAGGAACACGTTTTCTCAAATTCCATAAACGCTTTCATTCAAAAATAGTGCCTGCGTCTATGCACGTTTTACGTATAATTCAAGACACTTGTAATGCGAGAAGGATAAATGTTAATTGTAAATGCTTTGTTTTAGATATATATGAAACAGTATTTAGAGAGCCCCACTCTCACGCAGCGATTTCCAGCCCGCCGTGAAAAATATATATGAAAGAAATGCTTTCGACGAGACTTATTAAATTATTAATGAGACGACCTTCAGGGATACTTGCGTCCCAGAATGCCTTGCTGGCTTTAAGAGTCCTATTTTCCAAGAATCGTGATGCATGCGCACCAAGCGTATTTTTTACTTTATATAGTTTAATCAATAAATTTTGATCATCTAGTTTAATGTTTGGCTCAAGTAGAAATTGTTAAATGGATAGAAATCGAGCCTCTTATTAATGACATTTTATTATTTTTATATGAAACTATTTTACGAAGGTCGGGTCTTATATTAGGTATAAATTTATATGATATTATTCATACAATTGATCAAATATAAGTCTATAATGTTTTCAATGTCAATGTGTTGTAACATGACAACGTTGTTTAGTTAATAAATGCTATTATTTGCAACATGGCTAGTTATTCAGCATTCCATATTAATAAGAAAACAATACTGAAAGAATTCAGGTGTTTATCAACCTTTCTCCTGTTTAGATAATTTTAACGATTGCATATCACATCAACCAAACAAGACCTTAATAAACGAAACAAAAATATATCAGCTTTTCAATTGATTATAATTTTATATACCTATTGAAAGGTATTTCTAATATAATGCCTGTTAAAGTATAGTTAGTAAGTAAACCGTTATTAAAAATCATTTGAATGAGTATAATATTTTGATGTCAAAATGGAGAATTAAACAAATGGAGCATAGTAACAAGAAAAGTATCAAGATGAGTTTGTCGTATTGTAAATTCCTTTGCCTTCTTAGCGCCAGCCTACCTGTGGAGTAAAAAAAACATTCTGGCTGTTGGGCCGAGTCGGCGCTTTTGAGATAATTTATAAGGCTCTGCCTTTCTCGGAATTTCGAAATCTCGCCAAGATAGCTCCGAGCCCAGCTTCAGGGAATGGAATGTAACGGATTTTGATAGGAAAAAATGGCTTGCATTGGTTCGTATTGTAAATCAGATAAAAAACTCCAATTATGTGCAGCTGTCATTTTGGTTGGTTTAACGAAGCTATTTAATGTTGTAAGAGCGAGCGTGACATGGAATGCACTTTCAACATAAATATAGAAATAATTGTATCTTTGTGAAATAGAAAATAAAATATTACTAATTATTTTCAGTAGGTTATTTCAAGAATTTGCTGGACCATGATGAAGTATATAATCATGTCCATAATACCTATGATATTAAAATAAAACTAGTAAGTGTGTATATTTACATATACTGAAAATGCATTTGTCTAGTAGGCCTATACAAATAAGCAATATTGATATTTTATAAATATATAATAGAGAAAATTTCAAACAAAAAAACCTAAGAAATTTATTCTGAAATCTCATGTGCAACTGCACTACATCGTTTTCTTCGTATATAACCGCGTAGGCTGTAAAGCTGGTTTATGTACTTTAAACTGAAGTTGAACCCCAGCCGTCCTTACATGGAGTTCTGGGAAAAGAAGGCCGCATACCAAGCCCAGAGTTTCTATTGGTACATCTCATGGTTCAAAGATTATAGTCCTAACAGACCTGTCATATTCAAATTGTCGACAAAAATTTTGAAATTCGAATTCTCTGGATGAAAAAAGAAGGTTGCTTATCACACATCAGTTAATAGACAACCACAGACAGTTTTTTTAAATGCGATTGATTTTTGTAAACAAAACAATCAGTGATTTTTAAATTATGTACATCTTACGAAAGAAATTAAGTTTGTACGTAGTAAGAAACCATTAAGTCGTAATACTTGAGTAAACACGATCATTATTCCGTATTTACATTTAGCTACCTACGCTTTAAACGTTAATTACAGTATTTTTTAACGTATTAGCTATAAAAATAGTCTCGGATAGCAATCTTATTTAAATTTTGGAGGACTTAAAAAAACATAGTACCTATAGACATTTTTCCTCTTTGTCTATAGGTACAGTTTATTGCTCAGTCACGAACAAAACCATAGAACGGCTACACTAGACCTCGTTAGGAAGGTTCATTCATTGAAACTACGCTAGCTAGGGCTTTAATACAAACACATCTTTATATGTTAACAAAATTGTGTTACAATTAGATAGAGTTTTTTTCCCTACCCTCTGAAGGTTACATTAAAAAAATACTATTTGTTTATTTATTTATTAACACCTTACTTGGCCGTAAGCATTTTGGTCGTGCACAGACTAGTAAGGCCAGAGACCAGAGTGGTGGACAACGAGTTTCACATGGAGTGGAAGGCTGGCACATGCGTTGCCACTGAATATTGTCTATTCTCTACTACTCTCACTGTAGACGCGCTGATGAACTATCAAAGAATTCTTGGTTATTTAACAGACAGATTTCATCAGTACTGAGGTAAGTGCTGTATAAGGAAACCAAAAAATTGGTAAATCGATTTTCACGCCAACCTACGCTGTGGGCAAGGCATATGACGACATCGTCGACGACCTACGTATTACAAACTGCATATAAATCATAATAAATATGTATTTTCCTAGTCAGTAAAGTGGACTGAAGTGTCAGTTAAAAGTCGAGTTATATTACTTCTAATAATCAAAAGGTACGGTTTAGTTTCGTGATAATTTTTGCATGCCATTTCTGACATATATGATATATTAGTTGATAGTGTTAAACTAACTTACTACCAGTATTGAGTATATCCTACTTTCAAGGTAAGTTAGTACACATTATTTTAACATTTTGTGTTAATGTTGGTTTAAATCTTTGATTTGTTTGTTAAAGTTTCTAGCATTTAAGTTTTTTGACGGTTAAATACGTTGGACATGCGAGATTGATTTAAGGAGCATTTTCGCTGCTCCACGTCAATCTCGCTAAGAGAAAACTGAAACCACAAATATCGCTATACATATTAAGAAATATAATGGGATTGGCAGCTTTACCGGTTTGCAATTTGGCAAAATACACCGAAATTTAAGTTGCATTTGTGCATATATATGTATATACACAAGTATATAATTTACAAATAGTTTGGAAATGGATAGCAATTAGTTTTTGAAGTGAAAATTCGTTAGGCGCATGAGGGTAAAATGGTTATGGATGAAACGCAATAATAATAATATTGGCGTCAGGAAGATGTGCAGCGTTTTTGTCGAAGAAAAGGAAGAGAGCGATTGAGAGAGAATAAGAAGGGCGAATTACCTTATAGAAATTATATTTTTAAAATTAAAATTTCTTAAAGAGAATTTATGAAATGTTAGTATTGTATATTTTACGCAACATCATTTATTGAAATCTCAACTGACGAATAGTAAATTAAAATGCCACATGTTTTTACTATCGAAGAAATAAATTAAAAAAATAATTTTATAATTTGTATTACTTTTCGACACTTTTTATATTTTAATGACAATTAAATTTCTAACATATCTTTTTCTTTTTCCCTCCCTCTAAGTCTCGGAAATCTAAAGTTTTAGATTTGTATAAATATGAACAAGACTTAAAAACTAGTTTGCCAAAGAAGTTTCACTACTGACATCTGTACTTTTTACGCACGCACTTTTTATTTTAATTATAAGGTATTGGTTTTTGTTTTGTAATTGTGTTTTCTTATCTACCTAGAAATATGTACACATTTCCGGTGGGTTTTTTGGTGTACTTTGTTTCCTTTATCCCGATTTTGATGAGGGATGATTGAGACAGCTGTTAAAGCACGTGGAATGGCAGCTGACGCCCGCGCACGAGCAAGCTGCATTCACACCTGCGCTTGTTTCGCGCCAAACTTTACCTTACATAATAATATTTTTTATCTCTAAGCATAACAGATGTTAGAAGAGCATCTGCTTAAAGAAGTATTTACTAGGATTCTTTTTCCATTTAGTTTCTCCATCTGAAATATTGCTTGAAAAACCACTGTCTCACATTAACTTTTTTAAATAATTTGTGTCTGCTTGAGTTTTCACGCATATGGCCACTTCACAGTTTTCAGTATTTCATAAAATTATGCAATTATCTGCATCTGAAAGATAAAAATGTGTCATTGTTAAATTGCGTAGATAGGTAAGAAATAGTAAAGGATATAATTTATCCCTTTGAAAGTTAGCATTTAACACGCGTATGCCAGGGGTTACTTACCTACATATTATACGTTCCAGGTTGGTTACCTAAATTCCTAATGAAAACTGCTGTGTATATGTTAATATTAAAAACGAGATTTCATTGGATCAGATGTTTATGCTAGCAGATTGTAAACAATACGATAAGTACTAATACATTTTACGTAACAGTTTATCGTGGTATCTCAGTCACTATTCGTGTTCAAGCGACACTGTTCGCGGTTGTTTGATTAGGTACAGGTGAATTCTGAATTTAATTCTGTGATCTCAGTGCATAGACAATTTATTGCGTTCTATTTTTAAATAGCTGTCAATATAGTACGATTTGTAGAACTAAATGTTTTTTGGAATTAAAATAATTTATATTTTAAGTGAGTTGAATTAATTTTGGATTTCTCAATTGACAGACGAATGGAACATGGGCTGGATTCCGATGGAAATGAAGCTGCCGTTGCAGGCACGTCAGCGGGTAAGTTTTGATTCAATTGACAATTAATATTTAAAATAATAACATCATTTCTTCTTCAATTACATTTTATTTTTTGGTATTCCGAACAGACACTTTTTCTTTTAAATAACGCGCATCATTTATGTTAATAATGTGTTATTGTGTTCAAAATTTATATTTGAAGAATGCAATACATATCTTTCCATTATATAGGGCTGTCACCTAGTAAAGAAACGTAAACCTAAATATATTTTTAAACGGGGAAAGATCTTTTTCATTGAATTTTATTATTTATCTATCATAAATAAACGATTTTTAAGGGCTAAATTCAATTAGACCTTTACAACTTCTGTTCGCTTAATTTATGAAAATACATATAAAGTGCAGCTGGCAACCCTACGAACTAGCCACTTGGCGCTCAAAGTCAAACGCCCGTTCGTATCGTGGTCGGGACTCGGGAGTCGGCACTCGGCAGTCAGCACGGCTTGGCAGTCGCCAGTCAGTGACTGGCGCACGGTGTAGAGTGTAGACTAGGCTCGAGATCGGTTGTGTAGTAGGGACAGTTTTTGAACGTCAGCGTGACTGTGACGCACATTTTATCGGATTATACCGAGCGCCACTCGCTCCGTTTGCGGCTTGACTCGAAGGCACTAACGTCAAATAGTTGCGAGTTTCGCACTCGTGGATCAGGAATTGTGGTGTTTGTTTATCGGTTAAAGAATTCAAAATTTAAAGTGAGAGTGATCATAGTGACTAAGTAGGACTGGGTTCTGATGTGCTTTAAATATATAGTGTATTTACTTGGATTGCAAATGGATTCTTTGAGAGGTGAATATTTTTCTTACATAACCTATTCGCATCAATATGTTGATGATTTGGAACGAGGGCAACGTCATAATGTTAGCTTTCCTGTTATAAACATTATTTAAGGAAATATTCGCAAGAAAAGAATATATGTTGTTGATCATGAAGTGGTTTTTTCCCTTTGAATTTTATAAGTATGCAACTAATACATAATGTTAGTCCTATACATTAATTACCATTATTTTAAGTTTGTTTTAATGTTTAAACTATAAGGATCTGGATTTTCACGATACATAGGTTAATGTAATTTAAGTTAATGTTAGTAATTAATTTATAAACTAGTTGTGGTTCTGATCAATAACAGCTGTTTATCTTGTGAAAGTTAACACAACTTTGTCCTTTACGAGGGTCTTCAATGTCATATAAATGCTTAAATTGTTAAAATCTGTACCAGGTACCACATTGTTATATGCTCTAAGAGTTTTTTAATATATTTTTAATAATAATAATATTTTGGAGGGAAATTAAATGAATCAAATCAAACAATAATTAACTTACAATTTGATAGTAATTCAGCATGTGCTGAATTACTTTACTTTATATAAAATTAACTGAAAGTAAAACTATCATAAATTATGTAGGTATAAACAAACATTGCACTTTGAACAAATAGTATTGTTAAAGATTTCCATATTTACTTTGTTGATGTTTTAATACATACTTGCAGCGCCATCTATATCATAATTGAGTAAAGCAGTTCTAATAACTTGAAGCCTTAAACAATACAAACTACTTGATTGTAACAATAAAGTTTTCCAAGTATCGATGACTATTTATGTTTAGTGTTTAATTTAATTCTAGGAAATGTTATGTTTTTTATCAGTTCTTGATAGCTTATCAAAGTTATTTAGAATTGAAAACAATAATGTACAATTGCACCCCAGTTTTTAGAGACAAATCCCATAGAATAATAGGTTTACATGTTTGAAGTAAACCCTAGTGAGCCTCAAGCTACACTCGCTTGTATGACCTCACCACTCAATGCTATAATAACAAGTTGTTTTTTTCGGCAACAGTCAATTAGATTTAGACATCGAATCAGAAATGTGATTAACAAGAATTTGAATCAGAGTTTATATTAAAAATCTTTGTTTATTAGCTATAGAGCTAGTTCTTAGAGACTTAAGCTAAATAGTACAAGCCTTATTTCATTTAAAAAATATATTATTTATTGAAACTACTCAATGATACTAGTCAGTTTTTTATTTTGTCTCATATGCTTTGGGTTGTTTAATTTTGTATATAATATAGCAAATTTATTTTAATAAAAGCTTAAACATCTTGATACAATTTTTGAAATCAACAAATTATAATAATAATTGATTTTGTTAACTTTTGCTTCTTTAATATACAATTCACTCCATCTAGTAAAAAACTTGGGCATTATTTAGTAAATAAGTTAATTGATATGACTTCATTATCAACACCACTAATTAGGTGACATTAGTTATTATAGTTGTAATTAAACAAAGTCAATAATCAATTAACAACATCCAACAGTAAATTATGTTCTAAGCAATGTATTATTGGCTATAACAATGTTTACAATTTGAAACTATTGTGGTCACGGTCTTCAAGCCATTGTTATAGATTCCAATCTTCTTATTTTTATTATAAAACAGTCACCCATTATGTAAAATATATCTTAAACCTAAAATAATGTTACTTAGATCATACATTATTTTAAGAGTAACTAACTTAAGTTAAAAAGAAAAAAATTGTCTGATTTGGCAAAAACACACACAATTTTTTCCTGTGACTTTCAGTGGTCCTTTACTGATTAATATAAGGTTTTACTAAACTATCATTTGGATATACACATAAAAGTATTCTTAGAATCTCATTGCTAAGCAAAATGGATATATAATAAAAAGGCTACACAGCATTATAGATATATAATAGGGACAATGTATTTGTAAATTGTGTGGGAACAAGTCTAGGAAACCGATCGTGGAATGCAGTCAGCCCGCAGCTATCGTGGGAGTATCATTATACGGCCCGCCTTGTCGATGGCGGCTAGCGCCTAGCGGCATAACTCCTAGCAAGATCTATTTTGATTCATTAAGGATCGTATTCTAAACGTATATTAAGATTAGTTCCTTGATAGTTCAGTTTCATATCGTAAAACTGCACCTCCTAAAATCATAGTAATTATTAAAACAATTTAACCAAGGCTTAGAACATTATTGTTAATAATATAAATAATTTGTAATTTAAGCTGAAGGACATTTTATTTTGACAACTATTATAGGCGTGGGCTATCACTTGCCTCGTTGTGTGGGAATCATTTTTTTAACAAGTTTTCAATGAACGCACTGTACTTTTTTGAAGTTTTAAAAATCTCTGCGTCCACTCATATTCATTCAGCTTTGTTATCAACATTTCCCATCTGGCGGATGTTCATATCCACATTTCCGGGCCGCGATCGTTTAGTTTATTTTTAAAGCTTTATGATGACATTGTTTGTATAGGAGCGAACATCCCATTCATATCCTATTCATTAAGGACTCATTCAAGTTGAAATCAGTATGATTAGTATAGGTCTAGACTCTAGGGGATTATGCTTTGTGTCTACTTTCTCAAGTAGTAGGTAGTGCGTAGGCGCTATAGGCATAGTGGAATTCGAAAGCTGAGCGTCGACCACCCATAGGCATGAAAACACCGCCCCTCCCTCCCTCCTATGGACACGCCGGCGCCGCCTCTCGCCGTTCTCTTAAGGCACAATGCTGAATTTCATTTGCGGCATGCGCCTTGGACCTTGGAAGTTGATTCTTTTGTTTTGTTCCCCATGAGTTCTTTGTCTTTTTTTGTCTGAAAGTATCCTGTCAGAACGCCTGATATAGCACACATCACTTGTGTATTCTACTCTGAAACCTACATTTTAATATCAATTTTCCATATATTGTGTTTATAATGATAAATATTTGTAATATGTTGTTACATATTATTATTTTGTTATCAAAATCATTCCAATTATTAGTAGCCATAATCTAAAATGTTTTTATTTTATTTTCTAACGACAGGTATTCTTTGTAATAACGTAATGCAAGCCCACATACGTTTTACCAAAACATTATCCATTTAGTAGAACCGAGATGTACTGCAGTCTGCGACTAAGTACTGTCCGCATTCCACAGCGTCACTTTTTATTCGGTACTCGCTTAGACCCGCCCAGCGGAGCCGTCACATTCCTAAGGCTGTTTTTTACGCTGTGTGGTCGCGGTTTCCGCTGAGGACGGCAACGTCGCGTCTCAAATATGAATGAAATCCGGTCGGCGGGGGCGGTGCGGCAACGTCGCTCCAGACGCTCCGTTGATTGAGAACTACATCTCCCGCGTCGGCCCTTCTTTCGTACTTCACTTGTTTGTAGCGACTGAGTGCATACGCACTATACATTAATAGTTATGTCCCATACCGCGGTCATAACATCTGTCAAAAACCGCACGTGACGATTCCTTAGTTAATTTTATGGTAATTCACGTTGGTCAGGGATATAAATTATTTTTCTTTAATACTAACGTAATGTAGGTCGTTATCTGCAATTTCTCAGTGAAAATTTGTATAAGAAACTTGGCTTAAGTTTCGTTAGTTATGAAATATAATATCGACAAGCGTATAATATATTCATTGAATACAGCTGTTTGCTTTTATTTCATATAAGGTTTTAGTTAATCAATCGGTCATGATCTATACAATTTTTCTATGTCTAATAGGTCACAATATTTAATATAAATACATAACAAGTAAAATCGTCTATTTTAATGTCATGTGAAACTTGAAATCGCATACATTTTGAAAACTGTAGCAGACCCCACACAGCTGTAACTGTAGATGGCACCCCACGTAGAAAGAACCCTTCGTATACGCACGCATGCGTAGAGGGGCAGTCAATATACCCAATGCAGTCAGAATACGTACGATGCCCGAGTCCATCTGTCCTCCATCAGAGTATTACGAAAAAAACCTATTTTTTTTACTGTTAGCTTTAATGTTATCTATAGAAATGTGTGATTTGAGTGTTACGTGAAAATAGTGTTTCATTTAACTACAAAATGCCTATTTTAGTGGATAGCAAACACAGAAATGGTAATTATCGATCGGTTTATGTCCGGCCATTATGACGTGATAGATTTTATATTCCAGTTTGATTTGGCTTTTAGTAGTAATCGTTATAGTGTTTTTATGTGTCTGTATGTTAAGTGATAAATGATTGTAAAACATTAAATGACGTCTTAATATTTTATATAGAAAAATATATATTATATGAAAATACTGCATCTTGCTTAATCATGACATACATATACACTATTATATTCTTCGTCGCTAGAGACAGACCTTTGTATTCGTAGGCCTTTAATATTTAAGCTAAAAAATTGATTGTACGAGCCGAGTGCATGCGCACTGAGTGCAAGAGGTCTGGGGTAGGGAGGAAGGGAGGGACTGGGAATGGAATGTCGATGACGAAGCCAGGCGGGCCGCGAACTTGTTGTTATGTGAAACTGTACTTGAACACTTGCCTTTAGTTCGTCTATCGCTCTCGGGTAATATGAGAGCTGCATTCTTAGTAAACATGATGTTAGGCATGAGAATTGAATCTCGCTATTTACGACATGGGCAAAAGTCGAAACATAAACCTTGTCATTTACTTATACAAGAAATTGGTTCGGAATAAACCCTGTGACATGAACTTTACTCAGAAGTATGACAATAGATTTATTATGTTACCGTTATAACCCTATAATTTGGGTGAAATTAAATGCAATTCAAAGAATGCTATTAATCCTTTGCGAGTTGTTTATAGTTGTAGTAATTAGAGATAATAATTTTATTTTTCCTTCTTTTCAGGGGCCGCCAACACTGCTTCGCCCATAACGCCTCAGATGATGAGCCAATTGTTCAAGAGACGACCACTAGTAGGCCAACTAGTCTTACCGACGCCAGGATGCGAGTCAAATTCCACTTCACCGTCAACATCACCCACGGCAGTTTCGCCTACTTCTTCCACCGATAAAACTGACAACCGGGATCCACTGAGCTTCTATCCTGAAGACATGCACAGAGAGGAGGAGAGGCTCAAAACATTCGATAAATGGCCAGTAACGTTTATATCGCCGGAATCTCTCGCTAGAAATGGATTTTATTATCTCGGTCGCGGTGACGAAGTGCGTTGCGCCTTCTGTAAGGTCGAAATAATGAGATGGGTCGAGGGAGATGACCCAGCACAGGATCATAGTCGTTGGGCACCGCAGTGTCCCTTTCTGAGACGTCAAATGGGTGCTGGAAACGTCCCTCTCGATGCAGCTGTCAGCGGAGGTCGCGATGAATGCGGTGTGAGAGCGCCGGTCACCGCGGCGCCTGTACGCATGCCGGGCCCCGTACACTCCAGATACGCGTCCGAGGCTGCTCGTCTTCGCACCTTTGCCGACTGGCCTAGAAGTATGCGCCAAAAGCCAGAAGAACTGGCGGAAGCTGGCTTTTTTTACACGGGTCACGGCGACAAAACCAAATGCTTTTACTGTGATGGGGGCCTTAAGGACTGGGAAAATGACGACGTCCCATGGGAGCAACACGCCCGTTGGTTTGACCGATGCGCTTACGTCCAGTTAGTGAAAGGTCGCGACTACGTACAGAAAGTCTTAGCCGAAGCGGCTATCGCCGAGGCGCCTAAGAAGGAGAAAGATACGTCAAACGGAGACCCCGCTCCACCCACGAATACAAACACAAACAGCGCGCCTGAGAACGAAGATATCCCCGTGGAGGACACGAAATTATGTAAAATTTGTTTCGCCGAAGAAAGAAACGTGTGTTTCGTGCCCTGCGGCCACGTGGTGGCCTGTGCCAAATGTGCCCTGTCCACAGATAAATGCCCGATGTGCCGAAGGACGTTTACGAATGCAGTGCGCCTGTACTTTTCGTGAGGCGAGTTGTAGACTGGACTCGATGCTAGTCAGATCCGCGGGGTCTATGCGTGCGCGAAACCACGCTCTATGACCGCTTCAAACTGTGATTTTACCGTTTAATTGTTTGTTTTAATTATTCAAAGCGGTGGGGCAGCTCTCGTCTCGCCGAGAGTTGTGGGACAATTCTCGGCGCGCCGAGAGGATTTCGAATAAGACGCGATTCACGGAAAGTAGATGTTAAAATGATTTTAAATTATTTATTGTTTAAAAATTATAATGTCGTATTTAAATAATCTATTGTAAATATTTTATAGCTTATCATTTTGTCCCACCGGAAAATAGAGAAAGTAACGTAGTTGTGTGACCCATGCAGTATGCAATGTTGACAATTTACTCTTTGGAACCCTACAATAGCTATAATTGTCATTAACTATATATTTTATTCTATTATCTTTTTCATCTATCTACTTCTGAAAATACAATACATCTGACATTGTGTACTGTGTTGGATTCAGATAAACATGTATAATTTTGATGTTTTAATTATCTATTAATTTATAATAATGCTATTTCAGATTAGAAGTTAAAATTCAGTAATTGTATTTTGATGACATTGAATGATAATGTAAATAATTTTATTTGACAATAAAAGTAAAAATTGATATATTAGGTAGACATAATGATAAGCGGGAATTTCTTAGCACGGTCACTCAATCATAAAGTTTAATTAATTTTTTTGTCACCAGCCTGCATCACATAGAGTACTGAAAAACATTTTAACCTGCATTTAAGTTTCACGAAGTCAACAAATAAGGAATCGATACTGAGAATTTAAAAAAAAATAAAATGTAACAAGCCATAAGGCTTGTTATGACTTTATAAATTCTCTCATTAATAATAGTTATTTTCAGTGATATAGTAATTCTAAATTGTATGTCTATAACTAAAAATCAGTATGGTGTTCTATTATTTGCGAGAAAATTTATATATTATGATATATATGCAATTTAGAATTACTATATCACTGAAAATAACTATTATTAATGAGAGAATTTATAAAAGTGAGATTCAATTTGTTTTTGTCATAGGTAATTATTATTTCGCCCTGTTGATGTTATAATAAACAAAATGTTAAAAGATATGTTGTTTGATTTATACTATTTTAAACGTTTTCTTAAAATATCAATAAAAATATTACCTGAAATTTCTAGCAAAACATTGATGACGAGAGAGATAGGCTACTAAACTACCATTTTTCCAAGAAAATTAGTATATTTTCGTCTATATATCAAAAGTAGAACACCATTTAAATACATTTTATAGCCCGGGTCAGTTTTTCCTCCTCAAGTTTCCAACAGTTGGCCGTGGGTAATGGTGATTCTACAGCTCTGTAAGAGGTAGTGTGTTAATTTGAGTATCAAGTCGATCAAAATTATTCATAAAATGATTTTTGACATTACACAAAGTGAATTAATGAACTACGTATGAAGGTGAACTATCCTAGAAACATTTGTTTCTTATATCTTCCTTGATAAATTCACCACGAACTCATACAAATTAATTTAATAATTTTAAATGGATTATTTTGAATAACAAGAACATAAGTTTCATCATCGGACGTCGCACCACCACTATGTGGGGATTAGCTGCGCACTGAAGTATTTTCGAACCAATTCGACTTAATCCTTGAAGAAAAGAGCACACCAATTCTTAATAGGCCGGCAATGCACTCGCGAGCCCTCTGGCATTGAGGAACATCAGGAGGCTCTCCTGCCAGTTTCAATCAGATCAAAATCTATATTTTATTTTGAAAATATATCTATGAATAATTTTTTACGAAAATTAAATAATATTTGATAAGATAAATCGCTATCGTCCGTAAACAAGGAAGAATAAAATATGGCTTGTTATTGGACGTTATAAATTGCATTGTTTTTTTAATTTTATAACATCATTAAATATATTATACTCTTTAGATGATTTTATAGAAACGAACTCCTGTAAAAAGCTTTATATTCGAAAACCTATACGACTCCTTTTAGATACAGAAGATAGAATTTTGTAACAGCCAAGATTAAAATTTAAAAGTAAAAACAGATTTCAAAACATTTTATTTCACATATTCACGCAGTAAGTAAAGATTTTATGTATTTGCTGTCAGAACTAATTAAATCTTCTTTCATTTTATTAATTTCCAACATCATGTCTGCGTCAGACTTGACAGTTTCTTGTATTTTCTTGCATTTTCGTAGAAAGTCTTCGATTAATTGTTGTCCCTCCAAAGTATCTTGAGTTTTAACTGAAGCCTCGATTTCAAATAAATTTGTTTCGAGTTGGGCCTGTTTGGCTTCTGCATACTGTAAACAAATGTCGATATTATTAATACGTTTCTAAAGTATACAAGTTTTTAACACAGAGGGCGCTAGAGGAAAACCAATTGAGAAAAATCTTTATTATTCCATAGACTTTTCATCCGACGTTATATTCTGAAATATTCGAATTTAGACTTCATTTTTTTTTAAATTCCAAAATACAGAAATATATTTTTTAATACAGTTGCTCAAAAAGTGGCGTATTGCAGGGACGTATAGCGTTCGGGATGTGGGCTATTACACACTCGTGCTTTTTTTTTACCTTTTCCGAACTAGTGCGTTTTCTTTCCCAACTGTCAAAATAATGTCTATTAAAAAGAAAAAACAAACCACGAAGTTTTTACTAAAAAAAAATCATAGAAATTTTTATGATTCATGTAAATATTTCTAAAAAGAAGCTACTGCTTTGTTTCAATATAAGATTTAATGATTTGATTCAATGAGTTAGGTTAGATGTCATTTCATCTCCTTAAATTTCATTTCATATTAATAAAAAATTGTACTGAAGACTTGGCTGTATGGGCATAGTTCCCTTTGCCTACCCAGAATGGGTGAAGAAAAAAAAAATATCTGCTTATATTCTTTTACGGTTGGCGCCATTTTCCAAAAATGTTCTTTGCGCGTTTAATTATTTGTTATATTATATATTAAATATACATGAAAAATCATACGAAATAAATAATAGTTTGTCTCAAACAGTAAATAAATATGCAACCTAAAACTTCTCCAGTTAGTATAAAAAACTGTACCAATGTATATGTGAACAATAATTTGTATAAGAAATAAATGATTAGTGAGTTGAGTTTATTGTTTTTTTATTATTTTATTAAATTGCATAATTTTTTCGCAACTGTATTAAAAATAGTTTGCACGTGTACTGAACACGTGCGGAACCGTCATTGCAACTTGTTCCGACTGTCAACCCTCACCTTCGGTTGCGCCTCGGCTCGGGTAGACATTTGTCGAAACTCTTTGCAATGACAGGCTTTCCGCACTTGTAATGAAATATACTATATATGACTACGCTATTTTATATTGGCAATCCTATATAGAATTTTATAATCTTACAAAAAAAACATATTTAAACGTTTAAAATATATGAATGTTACACTGGCAAAGATTGTTTTATACTTTAGTTCCCAAGGGTAAAAAAAACAAACCTCAATAATAGATTCCGGTAAATCGGCCAATTTGGCGACATGCAATCCCAGAGAATGTGTTGCCGGTCCAGGGACGATTTTATGCAAAAGTAGCAATTGGGAATCTACTACGCAGGCTTCTGCGTGTGAATTCACGATTACATTCGGATGGAGACTCGGCAATCGGGTCAGCTCATGGTAATGTGTCGCGAAGAGGCAGAAACATTTGCTTTCTGTCGCTAGTTTCCTGAAAATAGGTCAATATTTACTTTACGAATACATTTAAAAACAAAACTTAATCCACAGTGTGTATGTAATATAAACAAAAGTTAAACACGAGTATAGCTGGCCCTTGGAGATGCCTTCAGCTATTGCTCCATCAACAGCAAATGGTGATTATAAAGCGCCGGTTTACAGCGTCCTCTGGGCACAACATTCGAAAAACAGTTACAATGAAAATTTAAAATGAACCTCAAATATCTCCCGAGACTTTTCTTGGCAATTGAGATTTGATTTTAATTTTTATTGTAATCGCAAAAAGCATACTAATGCACTAAATAAAACTTCTTTCAAAAATTCAGAAATATCGCAAACTTTGAAAATAGATGGCGTTGGCATGTCCATAGAGATAAAATAGTTCAATTTGATGTGACAGATTTTGCAAAGCAGTGAAACGTCAAATTATATAAAATATAAATAATGTAATAATATACGTTTCTCAAGCGGGGGTCGGGACCCTTGGGGGGGGAGAGTTTGTTTTAAAAGGGGGTCGCAGTCAGTCAGTCACAAAAGATTCGTTTATTAAAGGAATAATTATAGTGTAACAGGGTCGCACTTATTACTTAACTTTTTGGCTATTTCGTGGGTCGCGACATAAAATGGTTGAGAAACGATGCGTTAGGGAGCGTTCAAGTATTACGTAACTAATTTTTTCCTTTTGTAAAACGTTACGATGCGGGGCGGGGATTGAATTACGCGACATTGTTAATATCATTTTCGACTTTTCAGTACTTTACACCGCATAATGGTAACTAGGTTTAAAGAGTCACTGGGTGGTCACGAAACGTTTTACTATTGGGTACAGAAAAACGTTACGGCGCGTTACATGGAAGGGGGAGTGGTGGTCAAAAATTGCGTGACGTAATACTTGAACGCTCTTTTAGAGGTTTTATTTTAGAAACACAATTTATTATAATTTTTGCAATAAAACGGGATGAAGGCTCACCTGATGATAAGTGACACCGCCGCACATTTTTATCACTGCCGCATTTTTTTTAAATCATTTACGTATATTTGTTAAGGTTTATGTAAAAGGTTCCCTTACTCAGCAATAGCCCAGGCGATGCCGCATCCTTCATAAGTGGATGTACCGCGCCCAAGCTCATCTACTAGTACTAATGAGTCCGGGGTTGCCGTCTGAAAAATATTATTTACCTTTTGTTGTATGTTGGTTGTGAAATTTATTTACACTTTATACAAGAATTAAAAAACATAAAAACAAATACATAGTGCGGTTAGTGGGGAATAGTGCAATCTAATTTCTAAGTTAAAATGTAATTGTCAAGTATAACTGGCTTTCAGGCTTCAAAATGTGAAGAAAAAATTATTTGACAAATATTGTACCCGCAAGGGTGGCCGATGTGGCCGATGATACACAATATTCTAACAATAACTATTATGCCCTGAGTACTAAAATGAAATATGGCATACAATTCTGTCATAGGTAGAAGGGAAAATTTAAGAAAAAAAAACGTGTGGCACTCGGGGACTGCCGCGGTAAAGCTATTGCATAATTTTTTTTTTCAACTTATGCAATTAAAATTATTTATTTATGCAGTATTTTTTTTTCTTTGATGTTAATTCAAGTTTCACTCGCCTATATAGTCTGTCTCACTCTAACGCGTAAGGTTTTTTTCCTTTCGCGTAAGGATAGAGGCTATGCAATAGCTTAAAAACAATAGTAAGGAAAGGTTCAGACTGATAATAGTTTTCCTTTCAGTACAAACACAAAAGCCCATAAAATATGCAAATATCGAATTACAAGTGCGTCTAAAAAAACGCTACATAACAAAATATAATAAACGTGGCAATGGATCAAATTATGCATTTCCCTCCCAAAAATGTTAAAGTGTTCATAGATAAGTATCTTACTCTGATTTTTAATTCCGTAGAATTCTGACAGCTAACATTTTTTTTACATGTCAGAGATTATAAACCTTTTTTGCCGGGCACATTTTTCAATTTCAATACGAGTCTGAACATCTGAGTCTATACATACGGTTTATTTGTTAGTGAACGTATCCATTTTATTGAGTGCGGGGCTCCACATTAAAAGTGGGTTTACTGATAATTACGTCTCTATTCATCACAAACAGTAAAAAACGCACAGGTAAAGATAAAAAATTTTGACGTGAAAACTTCTTTAGCGGCGTTGTACACTTTTTGGAATCGATACATCGATGAATTGGACCTTAAGTCAATATCAAGGTTTAATTTTGCGAAACGTCTAAAGCTTTATTATTAACGATTTGGTCAGACTGACGACGGATGGAGAATAGACAGCTGGCGCGGCGAATTTAATGTAATATAAATTGTCATGTTTGTGTACGATAGCGCAATAAATAAATATTGTATTCTACCACATAAACGATAGTACTTTTATACTCATAATTAAAGCAATTCGTGCAAAATTATTCCCAAACCATTCCAAAATATCAAAAATGCACAACGATAATATTTAAGTTTTCACTTCTGCCGGCACTCCCGGAGTGCAACCCGTAGTTTTTTTTAAAAGGTTTATTAAACCTGCAATTAGTAGGCAGTGATGCCAGCTAAAGAATAAAATAAATTAATTAAAGTTAATTCGATATATTGTTCGTTATATTAAAATATTTGTTATTTTTGCATTAGGTCAATTGAGTAAGTAAATATTTAGATTTACCTTTTGGTAAAACATAAAAAATACGTAGCATTTTATTTTTTGTTGCCCTAAAATGGGTCAAATTTGTCCCTTTTTCGGTAGAGAACTTTTTGAGTAGCAACACTCATGACATGTCAGAATTCTATGGAATGAAAAATCAGAGATTACGTTAAAGGTACTGGAAAATAAAATATAACCTCACCCTTAAAATAGCAGCCGACTCAATCATCTCCAACATAAAAGTGCTCTGTCCTTTTTCCTCTCTATCAGCCGCTCCCACTCTCGCACAAAGGGCCCTAAGTTTTGGCACCTTAGCACTAGACGCAGGGACCAAACAGCCCGCGTGTGCTAGTAGCGCCACAATGCCACAAGACCGCATCCACGTGGACTTGCCGCCCATATTGGCGCCTGTCACTATGTGCATTAAACACGAGTCTGGAATCAAGCAAACAAATTTTAACAAGTTTAAAAAAATTTAGATTTTTAATATTAACATTTTATAAAAAAGAAATTAAGAGCTTCCGAATATTAATATTTATTATTAATATAGGCCAACATAATATGTACATAAAACATACATTTTCAAATGTATGACCAAGAAAACTGATTGAAAAATAATTCATAACTCCAAATTTTTTATGCTAAAACACTGAAGATACTTAGTATAATAAATTGGATTTTTAAAATTCCTTCCCTGTTTCTTAGCTCTGTTTAAAATACTCTTTTAATTAACAATTTAATGCGCTCAATTAACTTTCCTTAGTACTAACCAAATGTAAAATGTTAATCTTAATTACAATTTTTTTTTCAAAATTTATAATTCCAGCAAGTAATATTTTGTTTGTAGATACTTCCCTCAGTCACATGTTGCAAAAATTGTAGATACATCTTATTTGGTCCTTCGATCCGGATTTCAATCAACATCCTATTCACGTTATTTGATCTTATATCTAGTACGTACCTCGTTTAAAAACAACATCATTCGGTATGAAAGAGACGCCCTCTTGCACTTCAAGACATGGATGTCTCACATCTCGTAGGACGAACTCATCCAAGCTTTCCGTAATGGTTGGCCGAGTGTATGGGTATGGAGCTGTTGACGCCGCAACCGCGAAAGAGACAAGCACATCCAGCTTTGATAGAATATGAGAGAGACCGAAGAGACATTCTGAATAACCAGCTGAAAGAGGTGATTAAGAAAGTCTAGACAAAACATTGGAGTATTGTACTATAAATTCATCTATCTTTTTTTACAGAACAGGGGCAAACGCGCAGAAGGCATCTGATATTAAGCGACCCGCCGCTCATAGACACCACGAGGCTCGCGAGTGCGATGCAGGCCTTTTAAGAATTGATATGCGCTATTCTTAAACGACCTAAGTATTGTGTCATGTTAATCTCAAAAACATGACCATAAGCAAGATTGTTTCAAAATTAGTTGGAGTTTTAAGAATTGTTAGTCAGTCACGATGCATTATACAAATTTATAAGTACAATGGAATAACTAAAATATTTAATTCAGAAACATAAAATTTCAATAAAACGTACCAGCAATACCAATAATCTCTGCTACCGTTTTATCCTGTTCCTTTTCATAGTTAATTTTACTTTGAACATAGTCTTCTGTTATGGCCTCTAATGCGTTAGTTTTGAACCTAACGCCACCTTTGACCGCGTCTATTATAGTGTATTTTTTGTTCCCACGTAAAGCTTGTTCCTCTTTTAGTGTAACCCTTTAAAAAGAAAAAACTTAGCCGGTACAACCCTTTTTAGAGCCGTTACGACGGGAAATTGCTTTATTTCATCTGACATCTAAAAGTCTACGGTAAGACAATTGCTATTGCAAATTTTCCCGTATCTATTAAGTAAGAAGATTGACCCACGGACAGTGATGTCCTTTAACGAATGTACTTTGTTAGGAGCTATCAAATACATTATTTTTTTCGGCGTCGGGACGTGACGACCCCATCGCCCACTGGTGAAATAACCTGTGACAGAGGTTATTTCATCAGCGCAATCAGTCAACCCCTTCCTAGTGGGAGTGCCATGCTGTTGCCTTCGGGCTTCAGCCAAATGGGCAGGCACGACCGGGGCAGTACCACTGTCTCTCAGAAAACCGGCGTGAAGTGATGCAATAAGTTCGCCTTATTGTACTCGCGTTTCATGCGGTGAGAGAGACTCCGGAGCCCACTTAGAGACTGCGAAGCCGGCCTTGCTCTTTCTTACCGAGACTCAGATATCCCCCCCGGCTGATACTTCCTACCTCTCCTACCCGGGGTACAAATTGGAACATTCATTTGTGCCGCGGGCGGGAGTTTGCGTGTACGTCAGATAGGATATCTGTTCTCACTTCTCGTCGCCTCGGGACGCTTGAAGGAAGGGACCTATCTAACCTCTGGCTGCGCGTAGACTGCGATGACCATCCGCGATTCTACGCATGCCTGTATAGGTCCCATAGCGGAAATACCGAAACTGACCGACTCATTGAGCACATCCAAATGGCTACAGATTCCCTGCTCGAAAGGGTTCCTACCGCTGAAATCGTGATACTTGGCGATTTTAACGCCCACCATGCCGATTGGCTCGGCTCAGAAACCACCGATCATGCGGGAAGATCCTTTCACGACTTTGCTTTGGCTTACGACTTGACGCAAATGGTCCCTGCGATTACGCGAATACCAGATGTGGATGGTCATAAACCCTCTTTGTTGGACCTTCTGCTGACTTCACATCCGGAGAACTACCAAGTCTCTGTTGAACCGCCATTGGGTTCATCAGATCATTGTGTGGTCCGGAGCATTGTGCCGTTCACGCGCCCTCTTCGGCCTAGCTTCACGGGCTGTCGCCGCGTGTGGCACTATAAGTCAGCAGATTGGGATGGGATGCGGTCTTTTTTTGCGTCCTACCCTTGGGGGCCCATTTGCTTTTCGTCGAGTACTCCAGATGCCGTCGCTGACTCTGTCGCCGAGGTGGTCCTGCAGGGTATGGAACTCTTTATTCCATTCTCTGCGGTGCCGGTCGGTGGCAAGTCCCAGCCTTGGTTTAGGCGTTCTTGCAAAGCGGCTTTGCGCCGTAAGCGTGAATGTTTTAAAGCCTGGGCAGAAGCGGTGACATCCTGTGATGTGACTATCGGCGAACGTAAAAAAGCATACAATTCAGCCTCCAGGTCCTTCAAGCGAGAAATCGCTAAAGCAAAGTCAGAGCACATTGCCAGATTTGGTGAGAAATTGGCCCACCTCCCTTCGGGAACTCGAGCCTTCTGGTCTCTTGCCAAAGCTGTCCAAGGGAATTTCTGTCTGCCTTCAATTCCACCACTGCATAGGGAGGATGACTCACTGGCCCATACCGCGAAAGAGAAGGCCGATCTTCTAGGCTGTCTCTTTGCGTCGAACTCCACTTTGGATGATCAAGGGAAGGAACCACCGACATTATTGCGGTGTGATACTACGATGCCCGAAGTTATATTCCGGCAACGTGCTATCCATAAAGCTTTGTCTTCCTTGGACATCCATAAGTCGAGCGGGCCCGATGGCATCCCTCCAATTTTGCTGCGTACTTGTGCTCCTGAGTTGGCTCCGGTCCTAACGCGCCTTTTCCAGTACCTTTACACGCTCGGCACTGTTCCGAAGTGCTGGAAGATCGCTTCGATACATCCGATCCCTAAATAAGGCGATCGCTCTGATCCGTCCAACTATCGCCCAATAGCTATAACCTCCTTGTTCTCCAAAATAATGGAAACCATTATTAACAGCCAGCTCCTGAGGTATCTAGAGGGCCACCAGCTGATTAGCGATTCTCAGTACGGCTTTCGTCGTGGTCGCTCGGCTGGTGACCTCCTTGTATACCTTACACATAGGTGGGCAGAGGCAATTGAGTCCAAGGGGAGGCGCTGGCGGTAAGTTTGGACATAGCGAAAGCCTTCGATCGGGTGTGGCACAGAGCACTGCTCTCGAAGCTTCCAGCCTACGGGCTCCCTGAGAAATTATGCAACTGGATTTCCAGCTTTCTCGCTGATCGGAGCATCAAAGTCGTCATCGACGGAGCACCGACCTGAAACCTGTGAATGCTGGTGTCCCACAAGGCTGTGTCCTATCCCCGACCCTGTTTATTCTGCATATCAATGATATGTTGCAGCTTAGCAACATTCATTGCTATGCGGACGACAGCACTGGGGATACTTTTTACACTGGCCGGGCAGGTATTTCTCGGGCTGTTGTCGATGAGTACCGGAACAAACTTGTGTCTGAAGTCGAAACTCTTCTACGTGGAGTCTCGGACTGGGGTAGACTAAATCTAGTCCAATTTAACCCCAAGAAGACACAAGTATGCGCGTTTTCCGCTAAAAAAACTCTCTTTGTCGCTACTCCCCTCTTTGAAGACACTCTCCTTAAAGCCTCAGCTAGCATCGGAATACTGGGCGTTGACATATCGAATAACGTTCAGTTTCGCGGTCATCTGGAAGGAAAGGCTAAATTAGCCTCCAAAAAGCTTGGTGTGCTCAGCAAGGCGAGACGGTACTTCACTCCGGGCCACCGCTTGCAACTATATAAAGCGCAAATTCGGCCCCATATGGAGTATTGCTCTCACCTCTGGGCGGGAGCTCCCCAGTACCAGCTCCTTCCACTTGACCGTATTCAACGAAGAGCGGTTCGAATCGTCGACGACCAGTCACTTTCCGTGCGGCTTGATCCCTTGGCGCTGCGTAGAGATGTGGGATCTCTCTGCATCTTCTACCGCATTTACCATGGAGAGTGTTCAGAGGAGTTGTTCGGTCTAATACCTGCAGCTGAGTTTCATCATCGGACGTCAAGGCAAAATACAAAATACCATCCGTATCACCTCGACGTCCGTCGTTCCACAACAGAGCGTTTTCTAAGGCAGTTTTTGCCGCGCACCACCACTATGTGGAACCAGCTGCCCACAGAAGTATTTCCGAACCAATTCGACTTAGAGTCCTTCAAGAAAAGAGCGTACCAATTCTTGAAAGGCCGGCAACGCACTTGCGAGCCTTCTGGCATTGTGAGTGTCCATGGACGGCGGTATCACTTAACATCAGGTGAGCCTCCTGCCCGATTGCCTCCTATCACATAAAAAAAAAAAAAAAAACATTAATCAGTGAAAACCAGAATTCGAAAGAGTTTTATTGGTTCAACTGTTTTAGTAGTAATTTCTTCAACGGAAGATAAATTAGGTATAATAATTTATCAACAACTACTTCGAAAAATAAAAATAGACGCAAGAATATGACAGGGCATGGCACATTATTTCTTTTCTAATTCCACTAGAACACTGTTTTGTCTGTTTTCATCAAAAAGTAAAGATAGTTGTATAGACACAAATAAACACTTTAATTAAATGTATTATTAAACAGATTTATTTTTATCAATAAGAATTTTAATACAACATAATCTACTGATTTTATATAAATTTTTACCGTATTTGCGGTGCGGTAAGCAAGTGATTCAAGGAGCTAAAAACCGAAAGTGTAATCTACTTTTTTTTATATGGCTCTAGCACGGTTTGTGCATTATCCAGCGTCAAGTATAAGATTTTTTATAATTCGTGCTTGCCTTTAGAAATTCGACCGTGTTCTCCATGTACGATTTAACCTAACCTAACCCTCCCAAAGGCCGAGAACAAATTTAAATTAAATTAAAACTTGCCCTCGAACCGGGAATCGAACCCGGTACCCCTCACCTAGCTGCCACTTAATAAGACCGCTAGGCTATGAGGCCCTTGTAATCTACTTATAGACTACATTTAGGTAGCAAAGCTTTTTTCAGGGTTATCACAAATATGTCTAGCAACATGCATATTAAAACAAATTACCTAAAGTAAAATCCATTTTGTGGATTATTTTCAAGTTTGATAGTCCTTTTGGCGTCCATTTCTAGGTCTTTGGCAGCCCTGTTCAGTTCTTTTTCGGCGGACAGCTGTATATTTTCCAACTGTTCATGAAGTAATTGAAGTTGCTCGTCAAACGATGGTTTTACTAGGAAATCACCTGTAAAACAAATGCCAAAGATTAATACAAAAAACATGTATTATACTAAAAAAGGTTAAATAGTTTAAACGTAAGAAAAAGTTCCTATTCCAAATTCTCTTGATTCTGAGTTGAACTGAACCGGTTATAAAATAAAAATTATAAAAGTTTAAGTTTAATAAATATTAGGTCCTTACATATGAAATTGGCGTTTTGTATGGGAGGAACAAAAAGTCGAATATTTTTAAATATAATATATTTAATTAATCAAAGTATGAACCATTGTTTTCTATGCACTTTTGCCTCATAGGTAGTTCATTGATCCCTTTACTAAAAAACCCAGTCGGACGGGAATCAATAAAATCTGTGAAGGCGATTTGGGCTGCCCCGTTAGAGTTAAATTTTTTCCCTTGCAAGAAGTTGTCCAAATTTCGAAAAAAATGGTAATCTGTCGGAGCAAGGTCCGGGGAGTACGGAGGATGTCTTAGACATTCCAATTGAAGCTCTTCTAATTTGGTAGCCGTCTATTGTGCAGTGTGTGGTCTAGCGTTGCCGTGAAGTAGCAGTGGCGTGGAGCGATTGACCAGCCTAGGTTGTTTAGCCGCTAGCTTTTCCATCATGGTTTTCAATTGCTGACAATAGACATCAGCCGTAATAGTCTGGCCAGATTTGAGAAAACTGCAATGAACAATACCGGCACTTGTCCACCAAACGCTTACAAGTAACTTTTTTGGGGTTAATTTTCGCTTGGGGCAGGATTTGGCTGGCTGGCCAGGATCCAACCATTGCGCTGAGCGCTTTCGATTATCGTAAAGAATCCATTTTTCATCACAGGTAATGATTCGGTTTAAAATACCTTCAGTAATGTGACGCAGCAGTCGACGCGCGTTTGCCGGTTTGCTTCAGTCAATTCGTGAGGTACCCATCTTTCAAGCTTTTTAATCTTCCCAATTTGATTCAAGTGTTTTAGTTTTAGCATTAAAACAGTTTTATAACTAACACCGCAGCTAACTCGGACGTGGTTTGCGATGGATCCGCTTCCACAATAGCCTTCAATACTTCATTATCAACTTGGGTCTCAGGCCATCCACGGGGCTTGTTCTGCAGGTCGAAATTTCCAGAACGAAAACGTTGGAACCAAAAACGAACTGTGTTTTCTTTTGCAACATGACCGTCAAACACATCATTCACCCTTCGAGTCGTTTCCGCAGCACTAGTGCCACGGCGGAACTCGTACTCGTAAATAATGCGATACTTTAAGTTTTCCATTTTGTAAAATGAGTGACGCAAACAGAAAAAAATAGAAGAAAAAAACAAATGAATGACGGTCATCGAAGCACAAATACATGAGTAAATAGCTGTACAAATTTGAATTTGGAATTCCTTACCAAAGCGGAGAACATCGTGGTTAAAGTGGCCAGTACGAAATACGCCAATTTCATATGTAAGGACCTAATATATGCCTTTCTACAGATGGTCCCTATACTAGGTATTCTGGGTAACCTAAACAATTACAATAAAAGAATAAATGAGTTTGAATTTTTGAAACATATTAATCTAACGTAATTTTAACAGCATTGAATGCATAATTCTTTTCAAAACTAAAATCTCCCTTGAGTAACATTTTCTATCTCCATACTTTAGAGTTCTTGGTATTTAAAAATTATATTCAACATATTAGTTTCTCATGAACAGAATTCCACCGGCAGTAGATTCCAGAACTGTGAACTTTATACCATGTGCATTAATACAAACAAAATTGTCACCGCTCATGGACATTACATTTAGATTAAGGTTATATAATTGTTGGAGTTTACTCCTTAAGAAACGATTTGAGTTATAAGGCCCGGTACGGAAATTTTATGAGGAGTAAAATCAAGTGTAACACGAAAAGTTGAGGCGTTATGTAGAAACACGAAAAGTTGAGGCGTTATGTAGAAAGAGACAAACATATATATCTGTAGGATTGAACGTGTAAAAGAATGAGATGGAATACATTATACAGATTTTTCTATTTTGAATTCACGTTTTGACAGTCACGTTACAACATTGTCAGTGTAGACAGGTGTAAAAAATAAAAGTAGATTGTCTAGCGTGCCATAGAGTTTTGTCAATAGTAATGGTCAGTGAAATTAAAACTAAAAAAGATTGTTCATTCTTATTCTTCTCTTACTATAAAGGTAACTTTGGTCACAGAAAGAAAATCCTATTTGGGCATAGATGATGTAGGTACGTTTTATTACTACTACAAACATTTATATTATAAAAACATATATTCTTACCACCTTTAGTATGAAAATATGGTCGACAGCCACAGAACATTATCGCCATTTTATCGTTCGTAAGGAGTAAACTCCAATCGTGCGTCGTAGCTGACACACACACACTTTTTTTTATATAACATTTTTACTCATCATATTTCTTTTAGTTTTTCTCTTACTAGGGTTGCCCGAAAGAGATCGCTTGTTAGCGATAAGGCCGCCCGTTGCATCCATTATAATTTCTATGTATTGTGATTTTTTTATAGCAACAAAGCGTGATTAATAAAAATAAATAAGTTGGCTCCTCTACTCGGTTATTTCTACAACACGACTATGAAAATGGTCACGTGACAAAGCGTGAGCTTTATTTATTATACAAATTCGTATAGCCTTAGTGGGTCACGATTGTCAACGAGATTTTTTCTTTAGCCCATGGTCAAATCATATTAAAAATTAACGACAGCAACACTTAGGTATTTAAGTTAAGCCTAATATACCTCACCTCTGTCCACAGCATCCATGTCGACAGTAGCCTCAATCATCTGCTGGAACTTTTCTAAATCGTCATTCAACTCGGAAATCGGTTCGGCCAATGAAGAATTAACAGTTGGACTGTTGGACTCTGATAAACATTGGTGAAGATTCGGCAATCTTTGTATTGCCTGTAATTAAGAAAATTTGCATTCAAATAAAACTTCTTTAATAGACCTTACCTTTTAACTACCTTCTAACTATATAAAATACATATACTATATGTATATGAGATTACATAAAACACGCATTTACCCTGAACATGTTTTATCAGATTTTTATCACCTGCACTTTACAAATACAGTGTAAACTCTATGTAATGTCTCTCGATTTAACGACAAGCCCCCCTAAAGCGTCGAAATCACTCGGCTTTGGTTGGTTTAGCTTGTCTTCCATACAATGATACACTTTCCATAGCATTACACCCACCCTCAAAAACGACAACAATTAAATACTAAAAAGTACTATTTAAGTTGCCGAAATAAGTTAAAACTGCGGAGATGTGTACGTTGTTTTATCGCTTTATAGTCCTAGCGAGAAATAAACTCGACTGTCGGTACTCGTCATACGTACCGAACTTTCCAAGGAATCCGTTCTTTTTTTTTACAAATTGCTCATGCTTGCTTGTGCTTTATCACGAAGATGCCTCAATATCGCAAGATATGAATTAAAAAAGGAAAAAATACCACCTAACTACTGGTACAGTACAACGTTAAATAACAGACAACGCAATAGCGTTCAAATACGAATTGTTTTTATATTACTAACAATAGTCTGAAATAAACTTTCTGTCCATTTAACGCAAACTCTTTGTAACGTCGAAATAGTCACAGTCCCTTGAGTGTCGTTATATAGAGTTTATACTGAACAAATTTGTATTTGTTTAACAAATTTCAAGATGCAAAGACAAAAATATACCTGATATATCCTATAGCAGTCATGTAAATTTGCCTTTTTTCTTGTAAGTTTCCTGGCTAAGGCCTGCAAATCCGGGATCCTTCGCAAATGATCTTCATGCAATTGAAGTCTGAGCTGTGAGTTCTCTACTAACAATTCTACGATATCTAACCGCTCATTGATAAGGTTTATATCTCTGAGAGGCTGACGAAGCCATTGGGCTAAGAGCCTGAAAAGAATTCAACATTAATTTAAAACAAAACTAAAAGCGACCGTAATCAGCGTATACGCACCGTTTTCCTTGTTGGGTGCGACATCTATCGAGTAATCCATACAAACTTCTCGTAGGCGCATGATTGGAGTCTCCCAGCTCCGGTAACACATTCAACGCGCTGAGCGCAGCCGCATCCAAATGCAGGAAGCTCTCTGCTTTTATTGAATTCAGGCGAAATCTGAAATATACATTTGCTAACACTCAAGCGATTTATTTACCTTGCATTCTTAATTATACTTCAATTTTTTTTTGCTTTGCTAATCAGATACATAAATTCACATAATTGCTATTTATGAATTTAAAATCTCGAAGTTTATGGATCTGGTAAACGCTGCGCCGGATTCGTAAGTTCTCATGTCACTTTCCGACGTCTATATAATATTACCTACATATTTCGTAAGTGTTTGATTGTCCTCGTCTTAATATGTGTGATGTTTGAGAGCATTAATAAAATAAATACAGAAAGAAGATATAAAATGACTTATGTTTCTCCAATCATTTTAATATCTGTTCTATACAAATGGGAAAACTCGCGCACAAATAAAGAAGTGTGAAGAAAGGGCTCAACCAGTCTAACCACAGCTGGTTGAAGTCATGTGGTATATGATATCAGAACTCGAAAGGACTTCAATATTGCGATTCATTACATCAAATTGATTGTAGTTGCAGATTGTAGATGTCGCTACAGGAGTAAATGACGCAAGCGTCATGACATTTACAATGTTTATATTACAAAATAATTAAATGGGAATGCAATTCTGAATACAGATTTTTAATTCTAAGAAGCGACACACGAATACCATAATTCAAATTGGAAAACGAATTGCGTTGACTAATTTGAGTTGGCAAAACTTTGACCAAGAAATTAAAAGAAAAAAGTGACCATATGAAACTCATGTGAAATATTCGATAACATAACGTTATGAAATAGTTCAAGGCGAAAATAATAAACAGATTTAAATCACAAACAATATCACAAATCAGGTAATAATAAAAAGTAGAAATAATATGTAAAAGGGCTGACCGCTTAGAGCAGTTTTTTTAAAACATAGATTGTGATTATTGTCTTAATAAAGCGAATAATTGACGGTTGAGAGTATTTAAAAAAAAAAGGGTGCGTGTACTTATGTACGCGCGTAAGAAGTTATACTTCTTTGGCATTATTAAAAATAGTTTGGCTTTGTTCCACCTCCAGTTTTTGATGTTTCACAGCGATAAGATGACAACTCTTTTTTTGTATTCAATTTAGTGCACTTACACTGATTCATCAATTGTTTTTTGTCTCTTGTCCTTATATTTGCTAGAGAAAAATTACATGTTTTGATTAAACAATGTGGTAATTTTTTTAATCAAAACATTACTCGATAATAATACAAACTGATAGTTAACCTCAATTGTAATGAAGCACTTAGGAAGGTTGATGAGCACAGTTTTTTCACAAATATTAATTAGTATTGGTTTAAATATTCAATTTAAATCACTTCTGACTATATATAATTCAAAAAGCATTGCTAAATTTCTTTGAAAAAATAATTAAAACTCCTTTATTTGTTTAAAAGGTAAATGACAAATGTCATTATGGTCATTCAAAATTCTTGGCATACGAACTTCACGCATATTCTATTTCTTTTTACTTGTAGATTGTCTTATTCCTATCTCGCTCGCGCACGCTATAATCACACTCCTAATTTTGTGTCACAGGTGCGCGCGCATCGTAAAATTTCACTCTCATATAACTTCAAAAAGGGAAGAAGAATGATCCATATTAAAGACGAAGAAAAAACTTTGTACAGTCAAGAACTGCTTTTGTTACAGAATTATATTAACACGGTATAATAATGAGCTTTTTACCTTAACATTTACAATGGATTATTTATGAATTAGTGGAATTAGAAACGTGCTTAGATTAATAGAGTATTAATTAACACGTAAAGTTAGTTAGTAAAGTTGTGTTAAATGCAACAACTAAAACCTTCAAATAAATATAAGCTGATGAATTCTTTAGTTTGTCAAATAAGTGTGCGTAAACTATATTTCGCGGAAAACGCTTGCCAGTAATAAATTAACCCAATTTCGTGCATATGAAAAACTCACATCGCCGCATCTAGGTCATAAACAGTGTAATAATCGTATCAATAGATGTTTCTAGAAGCAAGCGCCAATTATTATTAATTGTTGATATTATCATTTTATATTTACTTCCTTTATACGCAAAAGATTATTAGATAAAAGCTGATCTATAACACTGTAATAATACCGGTTTTGTTTTTATTAAAGGATAAATTTAAAGTTACAAACGACCATTACGATTTTGAACGATCAGATTTAATTCAAACTTTACGCATCTGTCAAAGATCGATGACAATGCAATAATCCGAAAAAAAAAAAAAAAAAATTTAACTAAAAAAAAAAAAATTAATAATAGTTTAAAAAAACTAGAACACACGCTTTATATAGAAAACTAAACTAAAAAAACAGAAAATAAATTTTAATAAATATTAATTAAGAATAATGTAAAAAAAATTAATAAATATAAGTTATTAATAGTTTGAATAAGAAAAAAAAATGTTTTATTGTAAAAAAGCGGGGGTGCTTTTCAAGATATTATCGAAATGATAATCCTATCTCATATCTGTCAATTAAATATTCATAACTGGTGACACCATGCACCCCACGCTTTTTTTACAATAAAACATTTTTTTTTAAAACTTAACATCGATTTCCATAATTATATAAGATATCATAGTTTTAAAATACCTCAACAAAATCATGATCACATTTAATGTGTTTGAAACCGCGGGGCTATTGAATAACTCACCTTCCAAAGTTAGTAGCATCGTTAACGAGCGATGTATATCTTATAGCTGCGGCTAAGCTCAACATGGCTGATGCCATTCTTGTTTCGGGAAAAGCATTAGCATCTTGCACTTGAGAATCCTTGAACTTTAGAAGACGATTTAGATCCTGTATCAGACCTTCAGTAGAAAAATCTATTTTTTTCAACCTTGTCACTGTTATATTGGCTCGCTCCATTACCTTTTTCAGTGCTTTGTACTGTAAATATAAAAATATTTCTATTAGGTTATAGCTACATATTTTACTGACATATCTCAAGGAAAGTGATCAGCGATAACAAGTATGCCTGCATGAAGTCTACTATATGAAAATTAATTAAAAATTTGCGACCTAAATGATACTGGTTACTTGATGAAAAAAACAAATTTGCACCCAATACAAAGGATGTTTTCTAAGTCATTTAAAAAAAAAAAAAAAACTTACAATTTTTTTATCGAATACATATGCGAATTACTAGAGTGCGTTTCAGCAATCGTGGTCAGTAGAAATATCTAAAAAAATATATTTAAATGTGTAGTACTCGTAGACAAAGGTTACGTACACACTTGCCTTTGTCGTGTCTGTATCATAATTGAATATAAAAACTACGACTTCGATACAAAGTTATACTCACATCATCATTTTCAGCTTGCGGTATAATACATTCAGTGGGGGCCATCTGCACAGTAACAGTTTCTAGTTGTGTCAGCAAATCGTCATCGGTGAACTCCGAGACGGACATTTGGTAGTCATTACCTGATACACACGCCACTCCTATAAGGCGACCCTGGAAACGATTGAAGGTCTTAAATAGAAGGGTGACATTCATATATAGTATAAACTCTTTATTACGTCATTCGTTGTAACGAAATTTACACGTGTGCCATTATTCTTAGATTACATTGCCTGTAGGAAATTTTGGTCTCAGTTACTAAACGCACCAACGTCACCTATCGTGTATTATCAGTCGTAAACAAACTTTGAAACCGTCAACATAGCCAGTAAAAGAAAGGTGTTATGTATTATGTGTTTAGAATAATTTACCTATTGATAGTAATACAATTGGAAATTATTGTAATTGGTTAAATTTGGTTGTTTTTTCTCTTTCCTCCCTATATCAAAAACTTTATTTAACGAATAAAAATGCTCGGTCCCTTGAAATTCGTTATAAAGAGTTAACGATCTTGGACCCAAAAATGGACAGGTTAATGACCCACTTGCTAGCTCTAATATATAAAATATCAAAACAATTTACCTCAAAATAATGCTGTAAATAAAATATTCTTGGAAAGAGTGTTTATGTTTATGCTTGGGTTATCTTTGCTTCTAGTAAATTAAATGCCACCGGGTCAAGAATCCGAGCCCATATCAGTTATCATGGTCAAGTTTAGATACAAAAATACGTTTGCTTAATTTCTTGTACATATGAATTTTTATTTATTATTGTATACAGAATTTAAAAACAAAAGAAGTTTACAATAGTGTGGTGGAAAGATAAACTGTCGACTAGGACGTCAAACAAATTTAAAGCTTGTATAGCAATGATATATAACATACAATTATAATTATTGTTACGAGTTATGTAACCTAACATTAGTTAAGTTACAATAAACATTAAAATGTAAACACACATTGAAGCCAATATGAGCCCTTTAGTTTTTACCACACGCGTAAATTGTAATTTAACATTCTCGTTTCCGAAGTCCTATAACATAAGTGTCACTTAGATTTACGAACTCTTCAATAAGTCAAGTTAGTTTTTTTGTTAATCTAGCCCCAAATGTTATCTTACGTACCTATAGTTATAAGCATATGTTTGCTTCAAACAAAGTGTTTCTATTAATAGATCTGAACATATCCATACAACAACCGCCACCGAACTTAATTCGCGTAATATATAAAAATACATATACGTTCTCACAATAAGAACAGAGTAAAATATTGCTAGGTTGCGTGCGAGCATTTGGCTCCAAAAATATATATATAAACACACAAAATATGAAACCAAACATTTTAATACTTTACATGGTTTGCCAATTCATTGACTTAAGCTAGTTATACAAAGGATTTCTCCTTTATATTAACAAATTTAAACGAAACAAAGTCAATTCATATTAAGGCGAAATAAGGTACCATTTCATTCTTCACGAACAATAATTTCATTCTTTTATTTCTAATTTAAATTTATATTGGAAAATAATCTCGTTTTCCTTAATAAACAGTCATGTTCCATATTTAAAGTACACGTTGTAAAGTGGTACACTGCTCTACGGCTCGTAGCAATTACGATAGGTATTTGTGATATAAGCCGGCGCAGTAAGTGCACATAGCTTCAATAATCTTTTTGTATAATAAATAAACCAGTGGCGCTACAATGTTTTTAGGTCTAGACCTAAACGTTCTAGGTTTAGGGCCTCAAATTCCTGTATCTATTTCATGATCATTTGTCAATCTATTTGATTGACAAGTAGGCCTCCTGTGGTTGTCACACGCCATCGACTTTTCTAAGGCAAGCCGCTTTCCTCACGATGTTTTCCTTCACCGTTCGAGCGAATGGTTAATGCGCACATAGGCATGTCCATTGGTGCACAGCCCAGGATCGAACCTACGACCTCAGGGATGAGAGTCTGACGTCGCACTAGGCCAACACTGAACTGCAATGTTTTTGTATTTAATAATTAAAAAATTAAAAACCTTTACCTTAGTGATAGCATCAGTCTTGATATTGACAGCAATTAAGCAACCATTATCATTAGTGAATCCTTCACCCAACACCTCCTCTAGTTGAGACATGCATCCTGGTGATCCTTTGTACTTGAGGATCCATTCGTTCTTACTTGACCCTTCAGATGCGTAGATCTCAACGCGGTAACGACGGACCTTAAGATTTAAACTGATCTTACTAATATGTAAGGCATTAAAAAATAGTAATTGAAAGATATTTTTATCTCTTGTATTCTTGCTTCTAGCAGTAACTTACTGTAATACTAATAGTATAAATCTCACACTTAAAAAAAAACGTAAGCGTCATTCACTTTTGAGAATTAAAATTGATTGATAAATTGTCTTTGAAATATCGTGATTCATCCTTATATATCGTCTCTGTTTCAGTCTATTGTAGTTTCGCATTTTTTGCATTGAAATTTGTTTCTTTACTATGATTGTCTGGAAATGATCACTTATAAGTGATTCCGCCGTCCGCAGCCATCTAATTTATTTAATTTTTTATGCGTATCACGTTTTTTTATGTAACAGGAGGCAAACGGGCAGGAGGTTCAGCTGATTTTAAGTGATACCGCCCATGGACGCTCATATTGCCAGAAGGATCGCAAGTGCGTTGGCGGCCTTTTAAGAATTGGTACGCTCTTTTCTTGAAAGGCCCTAAGTCGAATTGGTTCAGAAATACTTCAGTGTGCAGCTGGTGCACATAGTGGTGGTGCGCGGCAAAAACTGCCTTAAGAAACGCTCAGCTGTGGAACGACGGAGTGATACGGAAGGTATTCTGCTTTGACGTCCGATGATGAAACTCAGCTGCTGCAGCAGGAATTAATACGAACTACCCCTCTGAACACTCTCTTTGGTAAATGCGGTAGAAGATGCACTGAGACACCACATCTCTACGCAACGCCAAGGGATCAAGCCGCTGGGAAAGTGATTAGTCATCGACGATTCGCTGACTAATCAAGAGCTGACGAATGACGAGCTGGTACTGGGGAGCTCGTGTCCAGAGAGTGAGAACAGAATGGCGCTTTATAGAGTCGCAAGCGGTGGCCCGGCGTGAAATACCGTCTCGCCTTGCTGACCACACCTTGTTAAAAATTATTTAGCCTTCCCTTCCAAATGATGGGGATGTGGGATGGGCTCAAGGAATTCTCACCGCACGAAACACGAATACAAGAAGGCGAACCTATTGCCGCCGGTTTTCCGATAGAGAGTGGTACTGCCCCGGTCGTGCCTGCATATTTGGCTGAATCTTTAAGGCAACAGCATGGCACTCCCACTAGGAAGGGGTTGACTGATTGCGCGGGTGAAATAACCTTTGAAGGTGATGGGGTCGTCACGTCCCGGCCACGTTCCAAAACTTTCGTATAGCTCACAAGACAAAACCATTACATAGTTTGAGCTTTGGTTTGTTAATTCTAAATAGGCCCGGCCCATGAAGCGCTTCGGAGTATTCCATGTAACGTCAACTAATTGTTACTTTTCTAATAAACAAATTATTTGATTATTTATCATATGGTTGCTATTGTGCTAGGAGCTGACTTCAATATAAATAATAGTACACTAGGGCGTGATAAGATGCAATTAACATTCCTTTTATGTAAGTGACGAGTGATTAATATATAAAATACAAGAGTTAGCAGCACAATATAACTTACCAATAATAACTTCCGAATCAATATATCAAAGTTCCCTTTCGAGAGGACGAGATAATCTTGCCGACTAGGTTCAATGCCCATCTTCTTGATGTTGGATACTGATGAAAATACCTCCCTCGCAGCGGTGGTTGCATCCGCACCATGCACACTGTAGTAGTCATTGCGATCAAAGATTCGTACAGTTGTGGGAGGTTTCTGTAAATTTAGGTAAAAGTATATAATAGCAGACTTTATAAAGTACATAGGAGGCACAACTTGAACAAGAACATTAGAAAATAATGGAAGCACCTGAAAGAGGCCTATGTGTGGACACACTGATCACCAAAACTGGCACATCTGATGTATTAGATTAAGTTATGTAACTCAAACAAATGTTAATATTGTTTATTAGAATTATATTGTACTGGGTGTCAGCAATAAAAGCTTAATAATAAAAATAATATAATAATTATGTGGGACATTAGTGTGTGAATCGACCCATTCAATACCTTATAAACCTAGTAATTATACAAAAAAAATATTTTAAAAGCTTTTTGAATAAAATATTGAGTAACTATTTTTCTGGATAAGGAAAAAGTAATTTATATTCATTATAACTGTGACTGTATCCTTGATAAACTGACCCACATTTATAAGAGGAACAATGTCACATTATCATAGTTGATTAATTACTCTGTAGAGAAAAATAAAGTGTATTTTAAACATAAATTTAAATGTCTTATGAATTGACAACATACAATTTGGTAAATAAATTATAGATCTATTTTAATATTATGATCTCAGCAGGTCTCAAAAAGCTTCACTAATTGGTTACTGACTTCGTATTTGTCCTCATATGATTCACTATTGTGTTAAGTCATTGAAAACAAATAAGTTACGCTCGCAGTCGTACTTTTTTCAAACTTTAATAAATCGGCTAAGCAGTTCAACTGTGAACACTTTAGAAGTAGTTTTACCACTTTTGTTAGTAGAATATTAAATATTGCTTAGATTTATTTAAAAGCAATTGCTCTATTTCGATTTGGCAACAACGACCAACATCAATATATAATGACTTCGGTGAATGATTCAGGTATTCATCACAAATATTAATAAATATGTTGTCATATATTTTGTCAAGGTTTTAAGCGTAAGTGCGACGCATTGACTGCCGTATTTTGCTCGTTGGATTTTCTGAGAAGAGTCATGACCGGTCAGGGGCTATCGTTCTAAGATATAATATTAAAATCTGAATAAATTCTCATCTCCTTCGCGAGCAATGTCAGTGTCTTTAAGTGCACACTGTGAAGTACTTGTTATTCGTGTTTAGTGTAAATAAGTAAGTATTTTATTAAACGGTTATTATTTTATATTTTGTATGCTGCAAGATCACGGGACGGTTAGATATCTTTTTTGTTATTTAAATTAACTTTTAAATCTAAGTTATTTTTTTTCTCATAGTTTATACGTCATAAACAAGTGAAATGTTTCGAAAGACAGGCATAATAAAATAAAAATTATTACTTTTCAGATTTAAACGGAAGTCAGCATGAGGCTTTTAATATTAATAGCCTCTTTGTGGGCTATAGCTTATGCTAAGCCTGAAATGTACAGAGAAAGTGAAGATTTTCAGTATTCAAGAAGTTCTTCAGACGAAGGCAAAAAGTCAGGATTCTATGGATCTCAAAGAGGGAATATGGGAGGTAATTACGAACGGGCACACAATATGGATGGATTAGCTCAGCACCAAATGAGTACGGCTGTTCGTCAAGTAGAAGGTGAACTCGGCGATGGAGCAAAGGAAAAGTCAGGCAGTGTTTTCACAGCCGCCAACACAAGAGGAATTTTTGGGTCCGGGCACTACGATCTCAGCAATCTACAAGGCAGAAATTTCGACGAGAGTAGTAATAGTGACTCACTGTCGCATTCATCTTTAACCTCTCAAAATACTGGCTACAGAGGCTTGGCGCATAACTCCGGTTATAACAGCGGGTACACAAAGAGTTCTAGACAAAGTACGGATTTTGCATCAGCCGATTATTCTGCAGATCATTCTACTGATTTTACTCAAAGTAAATTCGTAGATGGTGTCCAACAAGCTATCAATCAACACAGCTACGGTAACCAAGAGGCTTTAGGCAGTGATTACAAATATTATTCTCACGGTGGAAATCGGGCACAGAATCAATTGGTTGGTGCAAATCTTCATAGCACTTACGATTCATACGGCAGGCGAATCACAGATACCCCGGTAAGAGTTATTATGAGGCCAGGTACAATTGTAACAGTACCAGTTTCTGCTCAAACATACGACGCTTCATCTTCGTCATTAAGAGGTGCATCTTATGGTCAAAACTCTTTAAATACAGAAGCTGAAGAACTAAGCAATAGTGATAGTGTTTACGTAAAACCAAACACAGTTTATTATACAAAGCCAAAACATTATGAATCATCCTACAATTACCGAAAAGAATGGGAGAAACACAGTGCGCATCCGGAAGCATATATTCCTACAGAAAACCCATTCACAAAAAATAGTGAACTTTATGACGATTCTCTTTTATTACAAAACGCTAAGAGACAATACAATGCGGTAGATTCGAGCAGTGCTCATGTTGGTAGCGATGTTGTCCGGTCTAGAAACTCTAATATTGGTCACTTGAAAAGCGTGAGTGCTGCTCAACAATCTAATATATATAATACAAAATCGTCATCGGGACATCAATCTCAATATAATTATGAAACAGCAAATAACCAAAACGCTGCAGCATCAGCACATTCAAATTCCTACACACTGGGAACTCAAAATACCGGAGCTGCTGTTGATGCTAACGACTTAGTGGAAAACATTGACTCAAAACCGAAAAGTTATCACTCTTCTTACGCCTATCATAAGTCATGGGAGCGACGCGGCGATCCTTACGTAATAAAACCCATAGGTGGAGATAACAGTGCACAAATATCACAAAAACTTGTATCTGGGTCTGCTAACCAAGGCACGCATTCATCTCATCAATACGGATCTCTCTACAATCAGGCGCATCAGAGTTTAACGAAAAGTGGTGTAGATTGCGACGAAAACGGTCACATCCGAGTTGCCCGGTCATCCCAGGACCATCCTCGGCAACAAGATCAACAGCAATTTGAGGATCTAGGACAAGAAATCCAAAATCACTGGGGCGGACTAGAGGACCTGGGGCAGCAAACACAAAACAAATGGGATAACCTTCAAGGACAGTTTAGTCAACAAAGTCAGAATTTAGAAGATTTTGGTCAACAAAACTTAGACAATTTAAATCAACAACATCAAAATCTTGAAGATCTTGGACAGCAAAATCTAGAAAATTTAAATCAACAAAATCAAAATCTTGAAGATTTTGGACAGCAACATCTAGAAAATTTTAATCAACAACATCAAAATCTGGAAGATCTTGGTCAACATAATTTAGAAGATTTTGGACAGCAAAGCAATAATCTTGGTCAGCAATTACATAATCAATGGGACCAATTTAATGAACAATCATCAAGTAAGTGGATCTAGTGTAAATTGTGTTAACATAACCTTCAGTCATTTGTGTAACTCTATGTCTATCTCTGAGCATTAACAATAAAAATGCCTACTTGTGTTTTTAAGGAATTATAAGTTATTATCATAATACTGCATTTCATTTCTCATTTGGTTTTGTTTAACTGTATTATATAACTCTGGCTTTTACTTTTAACATCTGATATTTACTTTCAATAACCCTCCTAACACTAATAATCAATAATAATATAAAAATCAATGTTCAATGTAATATTTAATTTGGGAAAACATTAATTAATACATAATTATCATGTAAAGGATGCACTTTTGCACAGATCTTTATTTTGTTAACCCTGTGCTAAAAAAGGTGATCTTGTATTACTTACAAGCCTTGCCAATACTACGACAAATAACTTAACGGGTGTAAAAACTCAATATGGAAGTAAACTTTTTTCATTAAAATTTAAAAAATTACTTAGTAAACTTTTCCATTACACTTTTTATTATATATATTTCATTAGTACTAATTTGGCTATATGACAATTTATAATTGAAAAAATTAAAATTACTTTTTCAATTTATTAGGCATCATAAGTGAAGAAACGCCAGAGTTAGAATCCTTTCGAGAACCAAAGGTGAATAAACAAAACATAGGTCCTTTATCAGACTTTAACCAACATCAAGAAAGTGACAAACAAAAAGCAAATACCTTCTGGAATCAACACCAAAACTTTGATGCCCATGATGTTTCACAAAATACCGATCGAATGGAAAGCTTTACAAATGAAGACTTTCAAATTAGAGACAGCCACCAATTGCAAAATCAATTAGAATTGCAAAAGAAATTATACGGAACCATGTATGATATTTTAAGCAAACAAAAAACAAATGACAACTTTCAACCTTCAACCTCTTATAGTAATCCAATTAATTACCATCATAATATAAACTACAATGATGGTGAAAACCAATATACAGGATTTTCACATTATAGTCATGAGGCTAGTAACAATGGTATGAGTTCATCATGGCAGAAACAATATAATATTCAAGGAAGTCATAATAATAATAAGCCTACAGCACCATTACAAAATTTTTGGAGTAAGCTAGATAATTTAGATACACAAGGAATGATAAATACAAATAAGGACACTAAAGATGAAAATTTATACTCACAAATGTCAGATTTTGACTGGAGTAACTCAAATTGGGGGCAGTTTCATGCACACCATGATAACCATATGTTTGACGGCTCCTTCGCTCATAATGATGAAAAAAATTCTGTAACTTCTCAAATTTTAAAAGCAACCACTGGTGTAAATAGTGTATCGTCAACAGAAATTTCTGCAACAACAACTATACCTAGATATAATCCAATATCCAATATGCCTGTAAGCCCTATTGATGTTGGACGTGGAGACATAGGGGCAGATGAAACAACTGAACCAAAGAATGAAAATGAACACACAAATGTTTATATTCCTAATTCACCTCACAGACATTATAAAACTACAGAAGAAATTGAATCTTTGAGTTTAACAGAAGAAAACGATAACAGTGCAAAAGTGTCACCTGTAAACTCACAAGAGACTACTGAATACATGTGGAACCAATTATTTAAGCACCATAATGTAGTAGAGCATAAAGTTGAGGATTTGTCTTCAACTCAAACCTCTACAACTACCAAAGAAATTAAATATAAACCAACAGAAAAGTATAGTATTACTTACACAGATAAAGATGCTATTCCCAGTATAGAGAAAATAAATAAGCAAAAAGATATGACACCTGAAGTTGAAGATACTGCCCATAAAGTAGAACCATTCCCATTACATAATGAAGAGAAAAATAGTGCTCAGCATGGTTTATTCCATTCATATAACTTTGAAGAACAAAGTCAAGAACCAGCAAAAGAGAGCGAGATTCAACAAAATGTGAATGAGCAATTTGAAGATTTCGGACAGCAAATTCAAAACACTTATGATATTGGACAATCTAGCCAATCCATCTGGGAGCCAGCCAATTCAGAACATAGTGAAGTACAACAACTAGAAAATTTTGGAAGTTTTGAAAACAATGACAACCAACAATTTGAACCATTAGAAAGAAGCAATGATAAACTTCAAAGTCAGAGTTTGTTGAACTTTGAACAACACAATTCTTGGGAACCAGTAATTAATAATCAACCTAATAACCAGCAGCAACAACCTATGTCTTCAACTATTAAAACATTTAGCCAAGAATTTAATGAAAAAGAAGGAGGTCCCCCATCTGTCCCAAAAGTAATTGCTCCAGAAGAAACAGCAACAGAAAAAGCAGGCTTTTGGAAATCTTTTGGGAACAAATTTACAGGTGCAAAAGATACAGTAGTATCATGGTTTAAACGTAGTTAAAGTATAATAGTGTGAAAATAATTAAAATGTTATAATTAAGTTATATAAAACTATTTTTTATGTATTCCTTACCTCAGGTAATGAATTGAAGTATTTAACAAAGGCTTGCTGCTTGACTGAGTCTGAAAAAAAACTTAGTATTTTAGTTTAAAATGCTTGCATGAAAGATGTGGTTAAACATTACAAAAATTACTATATATATGACCTGAAATTTAATTTATACATTTAAAAAAAAATGTTTAAATCAATTAGGTGTTATAGAACTAATTACCTAGGTTTAGGGCCTGAATAGGTTGAAGCGAAGACATTATTTGCAAAAGCTCACTAACCTTGCCCTCTACTAGAAAAATATAATAAAAAATAAACTTTAATTTAAAATATGTAAAGTATAAAGTTTTAAATAAACTAGAAAACTAAACGTATATTTGAAATTTTCAAATTGGATGATGACAGTTGACATTTATGCATATTGCATAATATATAACGTTTAGAGCCTATATTATATTATTGTAGTCTATACTCTATAGTCCACTCTTACTTTTTACACGGTTTTATTCGATTCTATATTAATTCTTATTCTAACATCAAAAGATTCCATTTTGTATAATTTTAAAATGGCTCATCAAATATCAATGGCAGTCGGAGTAAAACATAAATGATAGAATCAAAATTTAAATGCTGTTACATATTTGTTATGACAGCTGGCAGCATCGACATACTGTCAGATTAAAACTTCTAGATAGTTGAACTTTCATATGGTTCATAATTTCGAATACGATAGGCACCTGCCAGAACTCAGAAGTCAGCACTCACCACTCAGCACTCAGCAGACAGAATGTCAAAATTTATTAACAGTGAAGGCTGGCTACAAATTATTGAGACCGTATAATGTAGATTGCAAAAATATTTTTTTAAAATGAATATTATGATACTTACATGATATGTTTGTTTTTCTGTGTAACTCAATGAAACTATAATAATTTAGAACAAATGTGTGAGAAATAAAAGAGTAGATATGTTAGTTTTCAAATGTGCTTTAATATTCTTCTTTTCGACTTTTGTGTTGTCGTAAGTAAACCAAAAATGTGTATTATTTAAAATTCTTTAATTATTTTCGTCGTATTTTTAGAATTCTGAAATAGCAAAAATTTATTCTAAATCATCAAAAATTAATCTATTTTAAACAATGGAAATACTGTTGCTTAGAGTACTTTCACTTTCCAAAACACATTTGACTAAAGTTTTGTTTTCTTTTAGACTAAGTTCGCAAGTTGTAAAAGTATATTCATTGGGAATTGGTCTTGCCTGTTTATACTTTATCAGTGGAGCATTGGGTAAATAGAAACACTTACGCCTTTTTAACAATTGTTTTTTTTACTTACAATTATATATATATACATACAATATAAACTAATAAAATGTTTTCAGCTGGCAAAATCCTGTATGACAGATACCAGTACATTAATATCCTTGGCTCACTAACACTAAATCCAAATGTGACCTTGTATGTAAACAGAATAGCTTCTATTTCTGCATCATTTCTCTCATTGGGCTTCCTCAGTTACCTTTTTCTTGTCTTATTTAAGGTAAGAATGACAGATTTATAAAAAAATGTAATTGAATAGTAATCCCAATATTATACAGTTTAATAAAGTAAAATAAATTACTCATCAATATCTTAGCCAACATTATTTTTAATCAGGTTTTCAGGTTGTTAAGTAACAAGATAGATCTCCACTGTTTGGTTTTGATGTCAAAACTAATAAAGTATAGTTATATATGTAAACAATGTAATAAGGGCATGAAGTATGTGGTAATATGATCCAAATGGCCAGTATTCATTAAGGTTAATGTCTTAAAGATCTTAGTAAACCACAAGTTATGAAACTGGGTCAGTGCTCTATGTAGCTTGCTGTATAAGTGAATGTTGTAAGAATTACATAAAATTTACAAAACTGTTTTATTAAAATATATATTTCACTTAAAATTATAATGAAGTAAAGATTAAACTATGTAGTACAGTCATGCTCTAGTTGATTTAATGAATTTTCAATATCCTGTTGAGTTTAAAGATACAAACAGATGTTTCAGCTTTGATGCAATTAGTCAAATCAATACAAATGTGACATTACAGTATTTATGACTTAAAACTGTTTTTGTTTTTTATAAAATGTTGACTACCTTTATATTGATATGCCTCCTAAGCCACCGTTTATATAGCTTTAAAGAAGTTTAATATATTTCCAGAAAGATGAAACCACTCTCAGAGCACTTACAATATTTTTATGTGGATTTGGGTCTCTTTATATGTGGGTACAGGTATGTATATTTTTTAATAATATGTTTTCTTATAGCAGTATGTCACTGCTTTATGAAATGTTTCTCAAAAATCCTGCATATAGATATATTTAATTTGTATCATAGAGAAAAGAAAACGCATTCAAACTCAAACTCAAAATATCTTTATTCAAGTAGGTAACCAAGTACACTTTTGAATCGTCAAGTTAAATTAATCGTAAATTTACATTTACTACCAGTTCGCAAGTCAAGGGCGTAGAGCGGGTAAGAAGAACTGGCAAGAAACTTTCCGCCACTCTTTTTAATCGCCAAGTATTGTCATACAAATTGTTTGAACTGGAACAATTCAATCCCAAGGATTAGGATCATTTAAGTAGTCCTCAAATTTATAAAAAGCTTTGTTGATTAATTTTCGTTTAACGAGGGCTTTGAATTTATTTAGTGATAATTCTCTAATTTCGCTTGGGAGCTTGTTGTAAAAACGAATACAATTTCCATATAAGGAGTGGTTTATCTTTTGGAGCCTGGTTGGTCGTACACTCAAATTAGTTCTATTTCGCGTATTATACTGGTGAAAGTCACCATTTGTTTTAAAATCGTTTATATTTTTTTTGGACATACAACAAGGCTTCAAGAATATATTGACCAGATAGTGTCATAATATTTAATTCCTTAAACTTATTCCGTACCGACTCCCTCGGAGAAACACAACAAATACCCCGAACAGCCCGCTTCTGCAGCACAAATATGGATTGAACCTCTGCAGCAGCACCCCACAGTAAAATGCCGTACGACATAACGCTATGAAAGTAGCTATGGTACACAATTTTAGCCGTGTCCTCATCAGTAAACTGTCGGATTTTCTTTACTGCATATGCTGCCATTATGCCATTATTCATTTATTCCTTGTATTTTTTCCATATTTATGATAGTTAAAACCTTATTATATCTTCCAATATTTTTTTATATGACAACCTATTTATCATTTACAGAGTTTACTCACAACATATATATCAACTTTATTTTATGAGAAAAGATTGACAGTATTGAGACAATACCTAGCCAATTTGAGCTTCCTGTTTCTAGTTCTTATGGCAATATTTGGGACTTTATCTGTATTTTTGCCAGAAGGTAAATATTATATATTTTCTTATTGGAAAGGTTTAAAATTAAGCTTTTTTGTAAGTGAACAACAAACATGCTTTTAAAAATATTGAAAATGTCCCGGTGTTTTGCGACATAGATTAGAATTCAAAATAATTTTTTTTTACCAAGTTTGAACACAGTAGATAATATACTATTCTGTTGGAAATTAATCATAAGCTTTATTTTATATTGAGTGTAATTTTCTATTATTGGGGCTAAGGCGGAAGCATATCAATTGTAAAAAAACTTTTTTTTCAATGAATCCGAATAAAATTCTATAAAAAAATTGTGATATCTATTTTAATTTAACTATTTCTTTAATAATTTCAGGTGATTCTAGTGTAATGTACATTTGTAACATATTATCGTCTCTTAGCGGGTACACAATGACATTTATTTTCTGTATATATATATTGTCATTTGAAAAGGAGTATGCATATTTTTCGGAGGTAAGTTTAGACTGAATATAAATATATTTAAATAAATCAGTTGCGCTACAACCTTGGCCTTAGATTTCTATATCTGTTTCGAGATCTGTTTTGTCTTTATAGGCAAGTAAGTGATTAGGCTTCTGTACGTAACTCATGTTGATTTTTAAGTCTAAGCAATGTTCGTTTCCTCACGATGTTTTTCTTCTGTGTGACAACACTTGCTAGGGTGTTTGTTGCTCACGTAGAAAAAGTCTATTGGTGCACAGCCGTAATTCGAACCAAACCACATATTATTTAATATCAACCACCACACCAGACTTACCCCCAGATTCAGAGCCGGACTCCCCGCCATCACGGGAACCACAGTTTGCGCTAAGGTAGAATCCATACTCAAATAATTAATTAATAATTTTCATACAGTAGGTAATGTATCTGTATTAAAATGTCTATCTATTGTACAATCTGTGAAAACTAAATTAATGGGAGTCCGGTTAAGTCTGAGAACATGCAGAATTTATATAAAGATAAAAAATCTCACTGTCCATCCAGTGGTGTTCGTTAGTATAAAACTGTCATATTGTTTTCAGGGAATCCGATCCAATATGTTAATAGATGACACCTGTTCGTTGAACAATGCGTCAGTCGACGAAAGTTTACTGGATACACATACAATAAGGAGGATATTGCCCCGTACTGTGTCCTGACAAGAAGCCGTGCCCGCGGGCACGGTAAAAGCGCCATCTTACGGCAGCTTTAACGAAACGAATTTCGAAATTTTGGAAAACCATTTCTCGCAAGAGTCGAGCCCCGATAACGACAGTGGCATGTCCTCGGGTGAGAACGATGACTCTCTTAAAGTCAAGTGCCTAAACGATAGTGTAAGGTGGAATGAGATTCCCAGTTGTTCTAATATAAATGTGATTCCCAATGATTTCATTGTGATCAACATGACATGTGATGTCGAAAATCCTGAAAGGACGGTAGGTACAAATATAAGTGATTGTGATAACTCAAGTATTTTAAGCGTAGAGTCTAGTTTAGTTCCTGTGGGGAATAACGAACTCGTCCAATCGGATAGTCAGAAATTGGTGAGCCTCTCGCTCTCAATACTCTTGGCTGCGATTCTACAGGCGATGCGTTGTTTCGCCCAATTCTTAGAGGACATTGTAGCTCCTCAGCGGTTATGAGAATTAAGTTCCTGTTAATTTTATTTGCACATTGCTTTTTAATATGCGTTTTATATCAGTATTTTAAGGGTAAAATCTATCGTATCAATGTATTCGAAACGTCCAATTTAATATTAGGCATATTTACAAAAGCCCATCAAGGACCGTTGATAGTATCTGTGTGGTAAAAGAACCGGTGTGGCCACGCGAACCTATATAATTCATATTTGTTGCGCGTCATTCCATTTGTTCACAAAAAATAAAAATAATTTTTTTTTTATTTAAGATCTGACGACAAAAAACTAATTTATTAGTACTACCACCTTAAATCCAGCGACGGTTGTCTTTCCGCATATACTCTATCTGGCAATAGCATACTTGTTTTATTTTTTAAGTTGTACTCATTATAACTTAAGAGTTAAAAAAAAGAGTACCGAGAGTTTTTTACGCCGGCTTTTTCTCTCGGCCTACACCCTCTGTCTTCTTTGCCGATGAGTAGGGATGTCTACCGATTCAAATTTAATGACGTGGAATAAGTGATACCTGTATCTTACGTTCCATAATAAACATATTTTTTATTTTAAAATATAGCTTTATCTTTCGTTTAGTATACCTACTATAGACAAGGCTAGCAACATTTTTAACTGTTCACAACTTGATGGCCTCTTTTATTATGCATTTGTAATTGGGTTATCTTTGAGACCATAGACTTAAAAGGAATTGTATATCTCATAGAGATTTTCTGCTGTTTTTAATTAATGTTTACCCTGTTTTTTTGCTTATGGCTTATTTTACTGCTTTTTTTAAATGGTTGTGTTAAGTAGTACAACTTTTATGAACTGTTCCTTGTTAGTTACTCATAGGTAATAGAAAAGCATTTTCGGTTATTTATAAGATAAAGGAGACCTATAGAATATTTTGACAAAACATTTTGGAGATGGCGGGTATAAAAATCTTGATTTAAAAAAATATATCTTTGTATTAATTAGCATCGAACCAAATACGTGAGTTACACGAGGGGGTAACAAGAAAACACAATTTCTAATAATAATTTAATAAATTATTGAAATACACAAATACTAACACACATCAAATAAATTATGAGGTTAAATAGGTTTATTTTTCTATTTATTGTCTTTACATGGAGGCCTCGTTGATAACTGTTATCAGTCTGTCGTTTGTGTTATGGCACTTTTTCTTCCATTTGATGGAGTGTTCAGGCGTGTCGTGGTTCGAAGGCTGTGGCGAGTTTGCTACAACTATGGACCAACGTCGGCCGCGACGCTCGTTTACATTTGGCAGTTCTGCTATTAAATTGTTCTCGTATTCGCTTAGCATTAGATAGTTTTCTACCTGCAAACATATGAGGCAAATAGTGAGTATGTATTGAGCATTTATTTTGTAAGAATTTGTTCCATTTACAGACCATAGATAAGCTGTACTATCCTTTTTGTTTTATTTAAACGTATTAAAAAGACCAGGCAACCCTAATTCGTAACTTGGATGTTTCATTTATTAAAAAAACAGTTTTTATCGTTAACATTTGGTGCAATATTTGGACGAGAAATTACAAAATGTACAGGAAAAATAACATGTATTTGTGTTACAATATCACAAAATATACATGATCACTTGTTTGTTAACTCAAATAGATGAATTTATTTTAAATTGTGTACTTGTACCGTATCTTAATTACGTTTATTTAAATTTGCAATAATGGGTCAATTAAAATCTTGGATCATATGTGCATTTTAAAAAGTTTTTTCTAGAAAAGATAAATTATTTCATAGATCAGGTAATGTTATGACAATGTATTTTTATGCAAGTTAGTTTCCAACTATTAGTAGCCAAGCATAAAGTTTGAATAAGTTGTAACGCTTAAATGCTTAAATTGCTAAACAAATATTGAGGAATATTGTTGATTTATTTGTACCTTTGCCCTATTTCCGTTCAGATGAGGTTTGAGTAAGCTTAATACTTACTTAAAACCTATATGTAAAGTGCCAAAAAGTTATCAAACCATTTGGCAATTGTTACCGGCACATAATCATCACCTTCTAAATGTTTTTTATTTTTATTAATTAGTTTACCGAATGGTTCAGATATGAATATGGCACCGTTAATCAGCAGGTATATTAGTGATAATTTGATTTTAAAAAGCTCTCTAGACCCGTAGTCCATAATTTTTTTTATTTTTGTATTTTATCGCATTTATTTGATTATTATTATGAAAAAATTTAGATTTTGTTTACATTAAATCGGGCTCTAATAATCAATTTTGTAATCGAACGCCCAAGAATTATATATAACTTCATAAAGAATTATTATTGTATTAATGAGTCATATTGTATAATTTTACATCACATATTGGCAGTTTATGTAGCACTTTGTATTTTTTTTAAATATAAACATTATACCTGAAAAATAGTTTTCTTTACGACCTAAAGGACAAACACTATTATCGATCGTATATTATGGAAGTAAAATTAGGTTTTCTCACCTTATTACAGCTAGTAATACAGTCGCCTCCACAATCTAGATCCTCTAATAAATGCTCTGGGATGTCTAAGTCCAAGTCTAGGTCTAAGCCGCCCTCTTCGCTAATGCACGTCAGCTCCGGCGGGAGGTTAGGCGGTGGTGACCCGAGACTACCTGGACCTATGCTGTCCAGCAGGTCGCGCCCAGTTCGACCTGGGGCCACGAGTTCTGCACCTAGAACTATATTGGAAAGTGTTGAGCGTAAAAGACCTGATGGAAAACTGCGTAAAGAGAACCATTCTGGGATTTCAGGTAGCTGCAGTGCTAAATTACCATTATGTTAACAACACAAACGTCATTATAGTTTGGCAGTATCTTGATACTCAATATGAAAAAAATTTTTTTTTTGTAAATAAACGAAATTACGAGTAGCAAATAAGAGTTTGGCTGGCCACGCTGGTTCTCTTTCTGCACGGACTCTTATGATAATAGATACTGTGTACCTAGTCCTGCAATAAAATACAGAAATAAAGGCCTTTCGTGCAGGTAGGCATGGCCAGTAGTTTTGCATAAAACATACATTATCTTTAAATATATAATTTTTTTAAACTTTATTTAGTCGGTAATAGTGTTGTGAATAAGCACTGTATCCATGGAAAAAGAGGACGATACATGGTTATACAGTATACTACTATTAGAAGATACCTAAAGCGGTGGCTGCGCCAGTAGCTGCGCGCGGTTCTCGATCCCGACTTCGGCTACGACGAGCCGGCCCATGCGCAGCTTCGCACGACGCTGTACCGCCGTTCTCTCTGTAAAAACATTATAACAAATGCATAAAAAGTATCCAAAGTGAGCTTTGATTAATCTCTAACCATAATTAAAAAAAATTGGCAATTTTGTAATTCAATCTTTCTATAAATCCAGCTAAATATTACAAATACCAACTTCGCGGCAATACGCGTAATATGCCAACTTTACAATAAGCTATAATCATAATATGAAATAATGATATAGCAACTATAGTAATATAGTAACATATATCCATAAAAAATTGTCTCGGAAACCAAGACATAATTATATACGTACTTGGTTTGTTTGTGCGCTACACTCCGTCGATGCAGGTCAATACAAAATAGCGAGAGCGACCCTATGAGTGAGCACGTCGAACTGAAGTAGTAACCAGCCTTGCCGCCGCAACCAACGTTTATATACCCTGGAATAATATGATATATCAAAGACTATCTGCGGAGCAGCATCACTAGATAGCCGTAGGCAGTTTAAGCGCTTAAATATTCTGACATTAACGTCAACGTTCATCCAAGAACGATTTGTTTAATAAAAAACTAAAACTTCCAATAATCTCTGGGTGAAATCATAGAAAAAAATATCTTTCCACACTGCAAACTGCCTACCATTGAATAGTTACAGGTTTTTATAAGAAAATTATTAATCGAGAAGTGCTTTTTAAATTGAACGTAGGTATACTTTAAATGTTATAAACTATATACTAAAATATATATGTATGTTTAAAGCATTTAAAAATATTTAGTTTTAGTTCCGGTATTACTTTAACCTGTGTTGCCTCTTGGACTCCCGTACATATACATTATACAACTTCAATAATCAAATAATTTTATTTAATCTTACCCGAGAGCGGCACTCCAATAGCAATGGGTACAGCTTGCGAACACTGCACGAATCCCCAAGTGCGGGCGAAGTTTCGTGATCGCACGCGTTCGTAAGTGTACATTTTTAAGGAGTAGTGGTAGCCACCACAGAATATACCTAGAAACAAATTAGTCATATGTCTTTACCACTTTTATTAAGATTGTTTCATTATTTTTAATACTGCTGGAGTGTATAATCTTTATTGATTTATGCCAATGCATGTTTAGCATGCACGTAATTGTTATCATTAACAATCAATCATAATTATTATCATCACTTCATTATACATACTATTGAAAATAGGTGTTAACGAAATCGTTGCATAATGAAGTCTGTTAGAACACAAGTGTTTCACAAGGTTTCTTTTAGTTATGTACAATTTATCTAATCTAATATATCGGGATTGAATCTAATAAATAAATATAACAATGGCGCCAAAATCGCGATTTGCCATAGACTATAGAAACTGCACGCCAAAAAAAAAATATTACGAGAAACTTCTTGGTGAAACAATTTTGGTATAAGCATTGTCTGCAAAAATCTTTAAAGGGAGTTAAAATTAATATAGAAGGCCACATACCATAAACCCAAGCAAACATGACATATCCACTATGTGACCCTTCAACAGCAGTAAGAGCCATGGTCGCCAAACCACAGACAAACACCGCAGCCTGGGTCAAGTACTGTCTTGCTATGCGGCACTCAGCTGATTTCTGACGTACCAGTAACCCAAAGGCTGCACAACCTACCGCCCAGGCTAGGCCTAAGTACGCTTGCAGTATTTCTGCCGTGTCGCCCAAACCTTAACACAAAATTAGAGTTATACAAACAGTAAAATAAATTGTAGTTTCAGTATTATTTCTCAACAAATAAAATATGAGAACTTTAATTTCTCAAATCTCTACACATAAGCCAACTTGCTAAAAGATCTGGACCCTACATTTTCTTTTAGAATTAGCGGTATTTTTAACAACACCTAGAGCGGAAAAAACTTCCTTTTTTCCTCCTATATATAATTTGCTTTCAATATCTATTCTTTTTGATAATTTTCTTATACTTATTTGATAAAAAACGAAACTTTAAATAAATGACAGGATATCATTAAAATTTATTTAATTTAAGTTTTAGATAAGGATCCAGCAGATCTAAAAATAAAGCTACTGATAGATTGAATTCCTATCTATATACTGTTTATGTGACTACGATCGTGGTAGGCATTGTTACCCTGCGGCACTTAATATTTTTTGTCATCATCATTACCGGAAAACTGTCATCTATTATTATAATATGATTTATTGCAATGTCGCTTAAAGTACTATTTTAGGGGCCAAAACTTGGTCAAAGGTTATTTAAATTTTTCTTCCTTTACCAGTAACGAATATCGGTAATAGTAAAAAAAAATGCGTTAAGTTGCGATCTACACACATACAGGTTCCTGAAATCAAACACTAAAGATATCTTAACGAATTTGAAATCAGAAACTAAATTTGTGTAATTAAGTGAACCTGTCTGATTAAATTGTTTTTTTTACTATAAAACACATATTATCCCAATCTGGGCGATATCTTATGTTAAATGTGCTTTAACTCACCTTCTTCTTCAGCATGATACGCGAGATAGAAAATCGGTGTATTAATCCCAAACGCAGATATTCCAGTGGACATGAGAAGTATACGCACTGTCTTGGATCTTAGAGTAGAGAAGTCAAAGAACGGCTGACGATCATCGGATTTATTTCTATCCTTCATTTTTCTCTTGATTTTATTTTGGTTTTTAAGATGCAAAATTGCCCGGCGTTGTGGGTGATATAGAGATGCTGAGCGGTAGAATGTGCCGAGTATGAATGTTACAAATACGACTCCAGTAACTGCTTGTAGGCCAAGTCTCCAACCGATCGCTCTGGAAAAAATTTTCTCTATAAAAACACTTCCTTTTCCCAAACATAACATTTTCCTCATAACAGACATTCTTGGAGAATTAAGTACAGCACAGGCGCTTGTTAATTGACTTTCCAACAGAAAATAACGCCGAGAGCGTCAATGCAATCTAGTGAGGACATGTCGTTTGAGGCATTTTATCTCAGGTATTTTTTTAAAGATTTACGTTGTATATTCAATTTCAGCAATATAATTCAGCAGTTAAAAGAGCGTTGATGTTGTTATGTTTACAAAGAATTGTTAATGTATACCCAGGATATTCGACATTCATTTATTAATCATTTTACCAATGAAATGAAATTTATTCTTTACTAATAATATTTTATATAGTTTTGTCTTTTAATGTACTTACTTGTTTACTGTTTCATATCAATTGTTTATCTATGTAATATGTTTTGTCTTTCTGTATTGTCTAAGTGTTTTGTTTTGTAATAATATGTATGTTAGCTGTATGATTGATAATAATTAAGTAAATAAAATTAATGTTGAAAGATTATTTTTTACAATACAAATTTGGCCACAAAGGTAATCCATATGTAAAGATAAATCGCTATAAGTGCATTAACATGCGATTTCTTATATTACCATTTTATCACTATACCTGATCGCCCCTTTGATGAATGTAGACATGACAGCGATACCTAGTCCACTTCCGCTGACTATAAATATTTCTACTAGCTCTCGGCGTCGCTTGAAGTACTGGGCCACCATCAGAGTGGAGCAGTCTCTCGTCAGTCCCACACCCACACCGACCACGGTCCCTGGAAATTGTTACGTCTCATCATTTTCGAAATTAAATTTGCAATTGTTGATTGTTGTATTCATGATCAACCATCTATTTGTTTTTGTTTGGGGAAAATACAAGGTTGATAAATTATTATTTATTATTATTATTAAACGCTTATTTCGCGTGAAATATTACACACATAGTGCACTGCAACTGTCGTCTTTAATCGGTGATCAATCCAAAGAAACAGAGATCGGAATGGGTGTCAAATTCTTTTCTCAGATCAGTGAAAGGGTAAGTGATAAAACTTACAAATCCACATATTTTGTTTGTATAAGCATAAATAATAGGTATCCAATTATAATTACTGTGCAGCGTTATGTCAATTGGTACAATTACAAAAACAAAGAGGTAAAGTAATATATTTTATTGTATGTGGCTTATATCATGCCAATTTATTTTATCAGATTAAATTCGTTCCAAGTGTATAATGAAATGAAATTTCCGTCCATTGGCTAAATTTAGCTAGGGTTGTCATTCTTTAGAAAAAATGGTAAATGGTTTAAAGTAAGTTAAATATGTTTGTCCCATAAAAGGCACGGGGCAGATGTCTAGTAAGGTAAATAATTTAATTATCAGCCTTCTGTGACCGATACAAATAAAATGTATCCGGATTTTTTTTCCTGATATTTTATAATTATTTTAAGAACAATAACATTTTAAGGTTTTGGGCAAAATAAAGATGGAAAATTGCCGAATGCCTTGTTGAACCACAAAACAATTTTATCAAAATCTGATATCCCTCTCAATTTCATAAATTTTATCTTAATTTTATATAAACTTTCAATAACTATTTGAACAGTCTTTGATATTTGATGATAATTATATACAGAAGGCTACAGCTACAGTAAGTTCGGATTTGTTATTCAATAAGAATTAGCTTAACTGTTTTGAAACGAAGGTACGGAGCTGGAGTCTGGAAGATGACAGACTTTAAAAAGTTGAGCAACTGGGCGGAAATATGTCTGTCTCACATTCAATTGTTCTAAGGAACTTTAAATATTTATTAGTCTACATCTAACTTCTCAATTCCAAATAACGCGCAAGATTTATTCAAAGCTACTCAAATATGGAGAATCGTATAAATGTTTCTGTTGAAAATTTAATAATAATCTTATAGATGAGAATATAATAGAATTAATTCAACTAAATGTTACTTTCATTACAATTAGTAACTTAATTGATTTGTCAAATTCTGTATTATGAAAGTTCCTTTTTTATTCGTTTGTTGATTTAACCTTTTCAATTTGATTTTGCTTGTCGTGTCCACATTTGTTAGGGACGCGACGGTACTGTTTTAATATTGTTATGTCTATTTTACCTTAGTCATAACTAACCGTGTGTTGGAATTTTTAATACGGCTCTTTCATATCAATTTTGTGACAGATCAGTATATTTTTTTCAGTCAGATTTCGGTAGCAGTATCTTTTGGAGACGTTGCAAAAGCGGATATATTTTTTATCTCCACTAAACACGCAGTGTATAGTTCACGCAGAGTAGTGTCTTCAGCGACTCTCATCCCGGAGGTCTTAGGTTCGATTTGCGGCTGTACACCAATGGACTTTATTTCTGTGCGGATTTTACATACGCTCGAACGGTGAAGGAAAACATCGTGAGGAAACCGGCTTGCCTAAGACTCAAAAAGTCGACGGCGTGTGTCAGGCACAGAAGGCTGATCATCTACTTGCTTATTAGATTGACAAATGATCATGAAATAGATACAGAAACCTGAGGCCCAGACCTAAAAAGGTTGTAGGGCCAATGATTTGTTTTGTATTTAAACAGAATAGCTAGAGTGAACAATTTCCTCAAGAGCCCGAATGATCTGTATATTTTTTCTGACCTTCCATCTGATTATAGGAAGGGCATTCTGTTAGCACTTGACTCTTAGCTTCTTTTGTTATTTTTTGTCATATTTTATTATTGGTCTCCTTTTGTCATTTTTCATTGATGTAAACTTATCATAAGTATTATGTTTGTGCACGCCGTTCGCACCTATCGAGGCCCCATTAGTTCTCGTTTTGTTGGTGAGGCTATAAAATATAAATAAATAGGCTCGCTGCCTAATGTCAAAAGCTCTCGAGCACAAAGTGAAATCAACTCATATACTGCAGTTTAAGGATAATTTCACTAAAAACAAGCATAGAATTTCAATTTGTAAACCTCGAAACAGTAGCGTTCGAGGTTTCGTTTTATGTGCGAATCAAAATTGGGTCAAAATTTAGAGGCAATTGAAAATTTACGATTACGCATGCTTTACGACTTTTGTACAATTTACGAGAAGGAAACGAGACCTTTGTCTCATGCTGCTGGTAATAGCATAAACTCCTAGAAATTGTAGGTTTTTTTATAATAAAACATTTAAATTCATTTCCTAATAAGGTTATTTAAGCCTTTGAATCATATTCCATATGTAAAGCGTAACAAATAAAAGTTTTTAGAATTGGACTTTCTCAAATTTAAATGAGTAAATCTGATTGTTATATGAGAAAGTGAATTTAAAAACAGAAAACTTTTGTCTACACTATTAATATATATAAATAAAGTGACAAAGATTTGTCTATACTCGTAGCTGAAAATGTAGGGCTAGTGAATGGCTCTTATCTTCTTTTTTAAACATAGAACAAATTAAAATCCTATAATCTGTACCCAATTCGTTGTTGGCTGAAAATTAAAATCCACTTTTTATTTAAAATTTTGTATTACAAATTTGGAACACCTTAATAATTAAAAACAGCGAGTACTTTTGCAAATAAACAACATACAGCGGTTATACTAAAAACCTAATAATCAATAATGTATTCTAAAGTATGTATTTATGAAAACGTTGGTCAACTAGCTACTTGGCTACAAGTATATTGACAATTTAAATGCTAATACTAGAGGTTAGCAAAGGCACTTCATTCTTGACGATATGGCATTTTATTCAATCGTTTTCGTAGTTTATATAATTTAACATAAGTTTAAATCACTAGAAACTGAGTATTTAAAAATACGAGTAAATTTAAACTCTAGTACAAATAACAATTATTATAAATAAGAAGTTTTACAACCTTTTTATCTTAATTATTACAAATTACGAAGTACTAAATAACCAATTCAAAATGCGTAGGTGTCAGAAATATTCAATGTAAATACAGCAAGATAGAGAGAGATATTCAAGTCCATAACCACAAATTTAATTTTAAATCTAATAAATGGGAAATGTGCAAAATAATAAACACCGTACTAGCTAATGTAATACGGAAACTTGGAAATATCCTCAATTCGAATATTGTCATTTTGCAGGATAATAAAATAATATCTACGATATTCGACCTCACTATTACGTGAGGACTCGTATCAATGAGGTACAAACAAGTTTTCTTTGTAATATAATTTTATACCGAATTCAAATAAGGAGTATGTGTACTATAAGTGTAAGTTTTTTTTATAGAACGGGGCAAACGAGAAGGAGACCTGATGTGAAGTGATACAACGCCAGAGGGCTCGCGAGTGCGTTGCCGGCCTTTTAATAATTGGTACGCCCTTTTCTTGAAGGACCGAATTCCGGAAGTTGAATTGGTTTGGAAATACTTCAGTGGGCATCTGGTTCCACATCATGGTTATGCACGGTAGAAACTGCCTCAAAAAAGGCTGGTGGAACGGCGGACGTCGAGGTTATAAGGGTGGAATTTCGTTTCTGCGTCAACGGCCGATTCAGCTGCAGGTATTAATCCAAACAACTCTTCTGAACACTCTGTACGGCGAAAGAAGTTGTTTCTGTGTCTATCTACAACCCTCTGTATGTGGATAATTAATGAAGAATCTAACAAAGATTCGGCTAAGTTGCTGGATATATGGGATCGAAAAATTTGCCTCATAAGATCCTTAACCAGTTAGCAAGTATACAAATCAAAATGTATAGTTTTTAATTCTCAAGCGAGTCTCTTTTGAGTGTATTAGATAACAGCGACTAGTGTTTTTAAAAGAAAAAAAGTAACAATTCGTTGTAAGTGTCTTTTTTGTTCAGTAACTAAAAGTTTGTTATTAAATTATTATTGTATAAAATTAAAACATAATAATTACATATTACTGAATCAGTTTTATGAATCAATTTAGGCTAATACTTCTTTTATTGTCTTAGAAACAAGACATAGCTCAATCTATGATTCCCGTATGTCCCGTGTGTCCTTAGAATGTTTAGTGTAATTTGACGAACGCGTTTACTTGAATATTATCGATGAGGGAATTAAGAAAATATTTATGGATGTTTACACTACCAGAAGCTGACTACCATCCTAAGATACGGCGATGCTATTTAAATATCGTAAATTACAAAGTTGCACATCGCCAAAAAGAATTACTTATTATTATATAATTACTTTAACGTGACCTTCCGTGATGTTTACAAAACAAAGTATTTATTGATTATTCATAAGCTGTATGTGTAGTTAATTAATGCGTAATGAAAAGTACTAGGTCTTAATAAATTCAACGCATTATCGTTCGAGCATTGAATATCCGCTACTCACGCCAATTAACGAATTCCTTTGATGTATAGCGACGCCAGATAAATTGAGTCAACGAATAAAATTAATTCAATTGTATATTTTATGAAATTTATATGACCTAACATAATATTTCAGTCCTGATTTTCAATTCACGTATGAGAGTCTTTGATGTTAATGTTTTAATTTTGTCTCAATTTGTTTTACGCGTGCATTGCAGTGACTCTTACCACAGGAGGGAACATGTTATGTTGTAGAAGTTCCAAACATTCAGAATATTATTTTTATGTATTTTACACGATTACTCGGCTTTCCACCAATTTTTATTTCCCTCACCATTTCGTTCAGGTGGACTATCAGTCTCTGAGGTTGTGTATAGAGGAATCGATGACATTCTTTAAAAAATATATGGTGAAGTATATTATGTATAAATAATAAGTAGTTAGAGTTGCTCATACAGTGCATTTTGTGGTTATATTTATTATGTCATATAAAGTGAATTTTACTATACGATCAATGCTATTCGGGACTCGTAAACTATGACCCCCGTATGTCAAAATCCAATCCCTTTTCCACTTACGGGTGGCACTTGGCATACTTGGCATACATAATCAAGATTGGGTTTTTTTTATAAACTGTTTAGATAGTATAAACCCATCCTTAAAATCTCTCGGACCAAAATCTGTCGTCTAATCAACAAGGTTTGAGGTATCATGATTGGTAAACAAAAAGCGTTTTTGAATTCCAGTGAAACCACAGGTGTATGGAACGTAGCCAAATACGTTTACCCTGTTATTGCTAGAATGCACATAAAGACCCACTAGTGCTTATACTGACCTCATAATGTAACAGCGGGAAAATTTCCGCCGAACTCATTGAATTGCATGCATTTCCTTTAAAGTGCTATATCGACGTTTCAATGTCTAATAAAAATTCACAACTGACACTTACGTGTTTAAAATTGACCAGAGCTACCCTCATTTTATTACTTTAGCAGTTTCTGATTGGATAAATATTTATGTGGCGTCCCACAGTGCGAGACATTGCGCGCTAATTGTTTTGTAATCCTTGCGGTGTGACCCTAAAATTTCTGTAATTAGCTGTACCCTTATTGTTTATTGGTCTCTTTTAATTAGTTTTCGTTTTTCTTTTATATACAATTATTTAAGTAGTGGTAACTTGTGTCTTGTGAGCAGTGTTGGCCTAGTGGCTTCAGAGTGCGACTCTCATACCTGAGGTCGTAGGTTCGATCCCCGGCAGTGCACCAATGGACTTTCTTTCTGCGCACATAGCACATTTGCTCGAACGGTGAAGGAAAACATCGTGAGGAAACCGACATGTGTTAGACCCAAAAAGTCGATATCGTGTGTCAGGCACTGGAGGCGGATCACCTACTTGCCTCAGATTTAAAAGTGATCATGAAACAGATTCAGAAATCTGAGGCCAAGACCTAAAGAGGTTGTAGCACCACTGATTTTTTTTAAACTTTTGTCATGTAAGGTGAAACCGACGCACTCACGTCACTATAAAAACCGAAGAGGCACGCGACAACTCTTTAAGAAATTTCTCTACCTTCTTGTTTATTGCTTTTTTACAGGTAACAGTTGTTATAAGATGTTGCGAGGCAGATACGGCTTTGTAAAACCTTGTAGAACTGTCCGGTATCTGTTCTTAAACGAAAGCAAAAAATGTTCTTACCGTAACTGAAGAATAGCTGGTGAAACTGTGTCGCGAAAGATGTAAAGAGACATCCTAGGGCTGCTACAAGACCTCCAACCACAGCGGTGACTCGAGTAGATTTCCGAACACAGAGTGCAACCGTCACAGGGGACAGTGCCAGGGCCACGCTTGCTGACATTGCTCCGAGACATCCTGAAATAAATATAAAACCTTTACTTTATCTTAACTTCAATCACTATTTTATAGGATAAATCGATTATTATTATTTATTTATTTGTTCAGATAAAATAATCCATCATTATTTGTTGTATATGTATTTGTTGTATGTGATTAGACACTTAGAAGAGGCATGCTGGTCATGGACATCATGCGGTCATTAGTTCTAGTAGTACATGGAGATATAAGCTTTGGCAGCGTTCATTACCTACGATATTTCAAGCGATGAGGATAAAAAAAGTATGAAAGTACCGACTGCAGCGCCATCTGCCGGATTGATTTGTGAACCTAAACCATCCAGGGCTCCACCCAAATGCATACAAAATCATTCAAATCGGTACACCCGTTTCAAGAGAAGTTTAGTGACATACACACGTACAGTAGAATTATATATATGTAAGCTATCCTATCTTTTATGTTAGATCAAACTACACACGGTGTGCAAATTTGATTGAAATCGGTTTAGTAGTTTAGGAGTGACAAAGAACGTGACACGTAATTTAGATATATTAAGATAGGGAATATTATTAGGATTCAAATTACTCCTAAATCGTGGTATCTCCCATGTATACAATATAGTAATAAGTTGAAACGTATTAGTTAAAAATTAGGGAAAAATAGGGTAGTCGTAACGTTTGCATCGAGTCCACAAAAAAAATCAATTATGGTAAAAATATACTATAAAAAGTAATAATTAAACAATATCAGCGGAATATCTATCCCTGGAAAAGATAGTTACTTTGTGGACAACGGAATAAATACAAAAAATCTACTTTTCAAAAGTGTTATTGTGTTGGTGACTAAAAAAAACGTGAACAATAAAATATAAGCAAGTGAAGTGAGAAAGAAAAATTTGCTTAACTTTCTACGTGGTTATTTTGTATCTACGACCGTGTTGCTTAAACATAATACCAAATAAAGTTCGAGGTAAATACGTAGAAATTACTGTAAAGAGCATTTATTGCAGTGACATTTGTACTGTCACATTATTGAAGGAGCATTTGTTACTGTGCAATTTCGGAATTCTTTATATTTCCTATACTATAATTTTTTAACAACACAAAATGGATGGTCAATTTCAACTTTTATTTGACAAAGTGAAAAATGAAATGCAAAAACAAACCACGGAGCTACAAACTTCTATAACTAACAAAATAATGGAGAGAATGGATGAAAAATTACAACCTATCATAGCAGAAAATAAAATCCTAAAAATAAAATTAGAAAACGTCGAGAAAGACCTGGAAACCTTAAAAAGAGCTAAGAAACAAAATAATTTAATAGTTTTTGGTATAAAAGAGGACGAAAACTCTAACCTAGAACTACTACAAAAAGTGAAAAAAGTTCTTAAAACCGACTTAAGCATAAATATTGAAGATCACGATGTGAATAACATCTATCGCATTGGAAAAGCAGGTGATAAGTCAAGACCTACCTTGGTATCTTTCGTGAATGAATGGAAAAAGAACGAAATAATGAAAATGAAGAAAAATCTTAAAGATGTATACATTTCAGAAGATTATACTAAGGAAGTGCTGGAGAAAAGGAAAACACTGCAGCCACAACTTATAGAGGAGAGAAAGAAAGGAAATATCGCATACTTAAAATTCGATAAAATAATAATAAAAGGAAAAAGCAATACAATCAATGGAAAACGGAGAAGAGAAACATCAACATCACCAGAAAATAATAATCAACCAAGGAAACAACAAACCTTCATGCCATCGAACGCCAACAGATTAAATGCTTTTGATTTAATGCGAACTAGAAGCAATTCCCTCCCCTCAAACTCATTAGATAATAAGCAATAACAATTGAATATCGGTAAACGGAAAACACGACATACCTATAACATAAACAACACAAGTACAAAACACCACGCTCCCCCAAGCCGACTGGTCATCGTGGGGGAAAATGACCACGACCCTCTAAAGGTTAAAAATAACGTCAACGTCAATACTCACACTAAAAAGAAAACGAATGATATTCAAATAGCAACCATCAACTGTCGATCTCTTAGAACACCCGAAAAACTTGAAGAACTTGAACTAGCTATACAAGAAATAAAATGGGATATTATAGGGATCAGCGAAATGAGAAGATTTGGAGAACATATAGAAGACCATGGAAAGTATATATTATATCATAAAGGAGAGACGCCGGGTATGTATGGAATAGGATTCATGATTAAAAGACATCTTATAAACAAAATAGAAGAAATAAGGGGAATAACTGAACGTATCGCAATTCTTAACATTAAACTTAATATAGAAAAAGAAGAAGATTGGTCCATTATCCAGGCGTATTCACCGACGGAATCTATCAAAAAGGAAGACATAACAAAAATCGAGAAATTTTACGAAGACCTCCAAAATACAATTGAAACTGCATATAAAAACGTCATAATAATGGGAGATTTTAATGGCCAAATCGGTACACAAAATATCGGAGAAGAACTTAGTATAGGAAGCTACGGGTTTGGAACTAGAAGCAAAAATGGAACAAGGTTAGTAAATTTTTCATTACAAAACAGACTAAGTATCCTAAATAGCTTTTATAAAAAGAAATTAAGAAATAAATGGACATGGATCTCACCGAACGGCCTTTATAAGAACGAAATCGACTTTATTATGACTAACAATAGAAAAATATTCAAAGATGTGTCGGTCATACATAACTTAAATTTTAATACAGACCATAGAATGGTTCGAGCTACACTGACAGGGATACGCCCTAAGAAAACAAGACGATTTCATAATAAATACGCAGTTATTCAATACAAAGGCGAACCAGAAGTCCTACTTAATAATTTACAAATATCAATGGACAGTAAAGAAGGCGTATCAATACAAGAAAAATACAACAAACTACTAAACCAACTAAAAACTATACCTAGAAAAGTAAACACAAACAGCAAGAAGAAAGTCTCACTCAAAAGTAAACAACTACTACTGAAACGTAAGGAATTACTACAAGAAAAGAAAACTAAAGACAACCGTCGAAAAATCGCAGAAATAAGCAAAAGTATAAGCAAAGAACTACGGAACGAAAGAAAAACGAAACGATCTAATACTATGAAGAATTATATAGAAAAAACCGGAGGAATAAAAAAGGCACTGAAAGAACTAAATCGAAAAAGGATTGGATACTAAATATAAAAAAGAAGGATGGTAAAATTACAGAGAAGAGACCCGAGATACTAAAAGCTGCTACAGAATTTTATCGAAATTTATATCAAAGTCAAAAGTTGGGACAAGTGGTAAGAGAATATGATGCAACTACCGATGAAGAGGAAATACCTGAAATACTAAACGAAGAAACCATAAAAGCAATTAGTACACAAAAGAATGATAAAGCTCCAGGATCAGACCTCATAACAAATGAAATACTGAAAATTACATCACCAGTAATTGGTCCGATGCTTACAAATATATTTAACGAAATTATTAAAACGGAAAATATTCCAGAGGATTGGACTAAATCTACAATTATATTACTACACAAAAAAGGTGACAAAGGAGATATATCAAATTACAGGCCCATAAGCTTAATGTCTAATATTTATAAGGTATTTTCTAAAATTATACTATTGAGGATTACAAATATTCTTGAAGAGAATCAGCCCAAAGAACAAGCTGGATTCCGTCGAAATTTTTCAACCATAGATCATATACACACCCTTAGACAAATATTACAAAAATATAAAGAATACAACAAAAGGTACTACCTAGGGTTTGTCGATTTCAATAAAGCATTCGACACACTAGAACACGGATATATCTGGGATGCACTAAAAATACAGGGTGTACAAACAAAATACATACGATTACTTCGTAATGTATACACCAAGAGTACTGCGCAAGTTAAGTTAGAAACTATAGGCGAAGAATTCCCTATCATGAGAGGTGTACGCCAAGGAGACCCTATCTCACCCAAATTATTTTCTGCCGTTTTGGAAATAATATTTAGGAACCTAGTCTGGACAAATGAGGGACTAAACATAAACGGTGAAAACTTGAGCCACCTACGCTTTGCAGACGACTTAATAATATTCTCGGAAAATTCAAGATCACTAGAAATGATGCTGCAACAGCTAGCAGATGTAAGTGACAAAGCTGGACTATCGATGAATTTAAATAAAACAAAAATCATGACAAACTCATCACAAACAGACACGATAAAAGTAAACAATGAGCAAATAGAGTACGTACAGGAATATGTATACTTAGGACAGCTAATATCTACTGAAGGCTGCATGGAAAAAGAGATTGAAAGAAGAGTTACCAATACTTGGAAAAGATATTGGTCACTCAGTGAAGTGATGAAGAACAAAGATATGCCTAGGAAAGAAAAGAGGAAGGTATTTAATATGTGCATTCTACCATGTTTACTATACGGGTGCCAAACTTGGGCATTGACAGAACATCTAGCAAATAAAATTAAAGTTTGTCAAAACAGCATAGAAAGAAGTACAATAGGTGTCAAAAGAAAAGACCGAGAAAAATTAATAGACATCAAAAGTAAAACCAAGTTTAAGAATGCATACACAACATACAAACAGCTGAAGTGGAGGTGGACAGGGCATATGATGAGAGAAAAGCAAGAAAAATGGACAAAACTTATCACAGAATGGTACCCTTTAGACGGAAAGAGACATAGAGGAAGACAGGCTAAGAGATGGGAGGATGACGTTAAGAAAATAGCGGGTTCAACATGGACTCGCACCGCAAAAATGAGAAAAGACTGGAGAGCTTTAGAGGAGGCCTTTGTCGGAAGACAAGTTGTATCCGAACTACCGTTTGCCGATAGTCAATAAATATTAAAAATTGTTAGTATATTAGTTAAACTCTAGTTAATAGTCAAAATGTGTTTGTTTAGATAGTAGTCATAAGTAATTTTAGGCACACGAAACTACTGTGTAAAACTTGTTAACAACAATAAAGGCTTTTTATTTTTATTTTATTTTTATTATTATTTTTAGTTAAAAATATCACGTATTCGCTGGCTATATTTCAACACAAAAAATAAAGCGATCTAAAACCGTTTTAATTATTAAATTCATCTGTATATTTTCATCACACCTTAAACATAATTTGAAACGAAGAGCAGAGAGATTACCTTTGTAAAAGAGTGCAATTGACAATGAGTTGTTGATGAATTAAATCTGTTACACAAAGATTCTGCTAAGTAGTTGTCAAATAAAATAAGCTCTCAGAATTTGAGCAGGTTATAAGTAACTCTTAGCACATCATTACAGCTCCGAAGCCAGCTGTCCAAAACTTTCGGACTCCCATAAGTTCAGCAAGTTATTTCGATAGTGTAGGCATAAAGAGCGTTAATGTCACATATCTTTGAACAATTCATTTAGGATTAAAACGCTTGGACAAACCAAAGATATTAATAGAAAGGATATATTTATTCAATTTGTTTAAGTATTGTCACGCAAATATTCTTGGTATAGATAACGAAAGAAAGGACAGTGTCTGTGTATTAGACTACTAAACATTCCTAAAATGAAGTTTATTTAAGTAAAAGAAGCCTTACGGTTACCTTACCGATAGAGTAATTTCTCAAAAAGGCTTAGGTGTATAAATCATTATAGTTTTAAAACTGACTGAAATAAAAAGATTATTGTTAAAGATGTCGTCGTAAACGCCACGCCACGCCGGCGAAAATGCGGACGGGCTAGTAATATATGTAATAGAAAACTGAAACGGGCTTACGGTAAATTGTATAAATTTATTTAAATCTGATTTTGGGCGACTAGAAAGTAAATCATACGTATATACATAGAATAACGTCTTTTTTGCTTTCTGTCTGGATTTGTACGGGGCCTTATGTATTTGGATTTTAATTAAGCTTTGAATCGCTTGTTAAATATGTCACTAGAAATATCGATATGACAAGTTACTTAGGCACTTTAAAATAGATTTAATACACCTATGATACAGACTGGACACCGACGAAATCGCAGGCTCTAATATAATAAGCAGGCATAATACAAACGATTTGTCAACATTTTATCTTTTGTAGGAACTTTTAATTGCAGTTTAATTTTGTAGTATAAATTTGTATAGGTGACATTTCAGAACATTGTCTAAAAGCAACTCAATGTACAAGGGGCGCTGGATCGCTAATTAATTGTTATTTAGAAGTGTTTTAGATAGCGTGAAAAATAAATCGAATGACTAATTACACATATCTTTCATGCTTCGTAATTAATCTTTAATCGTGCGGTATTTATGTGTACGTGAGGCGTCAATACATCATCGTTAACAGAAATTAAGTAGCCGTTAAAAGCGAAATTGTCTTAATGACGGTATTAAACATTGCGATAAACTGAAGGTATCGTTTGAGCTTCACCGACATCACGTTCTGCGTTAACTCGAATATTAAACGAACTACAGACGAAATGTGTACGATATTTTCATACATTTTTTTTATAATAAGGTTAATAATATTTTATTTACTTATTACGCAAAAATTTAAATTGTGATTGATTGATCAAAATTTGTTTGGTATTTAAAACGTATTTTTTCGCAGTTTTGCAAATTGATTGGTCTTAAGAAGTTGAACTTAGAGCAGTATTCAATACCAAAAAGTAAAAGGATAGCCTTATCAATCATTTGTCAACAAAGACCTAAATTAATTTTAATTTTTGAAACTCATAACACCAATAAACTATAGACGATAGTGCTTGAGGCTGACAACGGGCTCTGCTGAGAGATCCATTCAGCATACGATATTTGCCTAGCCTTAGCCAATTGATTATATTGTCCTTATTCCTTTCGTGTCATTTTGCAAGTAAATA